TGAACAGGTGGTCAATGTCCTCCTGTGGTATCTCATTCCAGGCAACCACCAACTCTTCTCGAAGTGCTTCTAGAGTCTGAGGAGGACGTTGCAAATTAAGCAATCTCCTACCCATCATATCCCACACGTGCTCAATTGGGGATAAGTCGGGAGATCTTGGTGGCCATGGTAACAATGTGACATCATTATGTTGACAGAAGTCTATTGTGACTCTTGCAACATGTGGTCGGGCATTATCTTGTTGGAAAGTTGGATCTGCCAGGGTCTCAATATAGGGTAAAAGATGGGGTTCTAGAACTTCGTGGATATAACGCTGCGCGTTCATGTTACCTGTGATGAAGATTAAAGGTGAACTGGAACCATAAGCTATAGCACCCCAAACCATAACTCCAACAGTGTGATGAACATGTCTTTCAACAAAAAACTGTGGATTCCTCCTTTCACCACGTGGCCTTCTAACCCTAGCACGACCATCGTGCATGCCTAAACAAAATCGAGACTCGTCACTAAAGACAATACTGTTCCATTCCTTATCCCAGAGTGACCGTTGTCTGCACCAGTCAAGGCGATTACGTCGGTGATCTCGAGTTAAAGGGAGGACCCAGTGTGGCCGGTATGAAAACAAGCCAAAACTTCTCATTCGTCGGTAAACACTTCGCATGCCAATAGGTCTTCCGTGTTCTGCAAACCATTTATTTGCAATGGACCTGGTAGTGGAGAAACGGTCCCTTAAGGCCAATAATCTTAGGCGGCGATCTTCACGGTCTGTTGTTCTACGGCGGCGTCCAGTGCCCCTTGCTCTTTGCGTACGGCCTTCTCGAAGCCATGCCTGACAACACCTAACCACAGTGTCTACACTTCTTTGCACTCTAACTGCAATTGCCCGAAAAGAAAGTCCAGCTTTCCGAAGTCCCACTATACGGCCCCTATCAAACTCACTAAGTTGACGAAATCGTACAGGTCTCCGTACTCTAGGCATCGTAACCGATCGTAAAGGATGTCAAGAACCAAAATCCGCCAACGTTAATTCTTTACTGCGGCTGAAATATTCATTTTTAGAGCGTTAGTGAATTAAAAAAAAGCAGTATAAAAACCGGAATGTCCCACTGATAAGGCTGAAAATTTTTTCACTTGTTATTTACAGTAAGATAAATACATTCACCAACTTTTATTAATATAAAACCATTTAAACTGGGTGTTCGGATTTATATGTCACTTAGTATATTTGTTTTTTGAAATAAGGTATCTTCATTTCTTCATCTTATCTGTGAATACCCTTAGACATTTGAAATGATCAACTGATTGTACGTTTTTGCAGCTATTCAGCTTTTTAATTTGGAGTTGATTAAAATTTGGGGAACATCCGTTGTCACAAGAAAATGTAATAAAATATATTTGTTGAAATTGACAATTACAGTCGTTTCCGTGAAAAAAGTTTTTAATATTTGAAAATCTAATACAATTTTGTTTTTTATAGAATCCCAACCTTTGTTAATTTCTGATTTTCAGTGATGTATTTCGTTAGTCATGAAATTGTTGTTGGATGAAAATGTATGGTGAAATCTGAGCACAAAATGAAAACCTTATTAATGGTAATAACAATAATATAATCATAAATAAACAGAATCAAATCATAGTACATGCTAAAGACGTTGTTTTGTAGGCATTCTTCTAAACTCTGCTACTACTATGTTCAATTTGAGGTCTGGTCTGACATACGAAACAAACGATTATCTGATAATTTTAAGGCCTACCTAGAACCTCCTATTATACATGATTGAAACCACAATTAAAAGCTGTACCTGCGCATGAATTCAATATAACGTCCAGAAGAAAAAATAATGTTAAACGTCATATTGAAATTCCAATTATGCCATCTTGTAGAGGAGAAAAAGTGGCAATGTTAAGTGCAATTTATATTAAAATCCCACTAAAAATAAACTCATGAAAAAAACAAAGCCTCCCATTACCCCCTTTTGTTTGATTCAGGACTTGAGACACCTTGTGTGAATTGTTACCCACACGAGTTTACTTAGTCATGAAAATGGCCCTTATTCATAAACATTCATGCCATGGTGGCGATATTTATAAAAGTTGTAAAAAAGATACTTTCAGTAGATGAATACTTCAATTACTATACTAAGTGACATATAAATCCGAACACCCAGTTTAAATAATTTTATTCTAATAAAATTTGGTATAAGTACTTAATGAAGCATAATAAGTAAATGATAAAAATTTCACAATGATTGCACTGCTTTAAAGCCCTTTGACCTTTAATAATGTGTGGATGCACCCTGATGTGCTACGCATTCTCCAACGCGCCTAGGCATGCTTCTGATCAGGTGGTCAATGTCCTCCTGTGGTATCTCATTCCAGGCAACCACCAACCTCCTCTCGAAGTGCTTCTAGAGTCTGAGGAGGACGTTGCAAATTGAGCAATCTCCTACCCATCATATCCCACACGTGCTCAATTGGGGATAAGTCAGGAGATCTTGGTGGCCATGGTAACAATGTGACATCATTATGTTGAAAGAAGTCTATTGTGACTCTTGCAACATGTGGTCGGACATTATCTTGTTGGAAAGTTGGATCTGCCAGGGTGTCAAGATAGGGTAAAAGATGGGGTTCTAGAACTTCGTGGATATAACGCTGCGCGTTCATGTTACCTCTGATGAAGATTAAAGGTGACCTGGAACCATAAGCTATAGCACCCCAAACCATAACTCCAACAGTGTGATGAACATGTCTTTCAACAAAAAAGTGTGGATTCCTCCTTTCACCACGTCGCCTTCTAACCCTGGCACGACCATCGTGCATGCCTAAACAAAATCGAGACTTGTCACTAAAGACAATACTGTTCCATTCCTGATCCCAGAATGACCGTTGTCTGCACAACTCAAGGCGATTACGTCGGTGTTCTCGAGTTAAAGGGAGGACCCAGTGTGGCCGGTATGAAAACAAGCCAAAACTTCTCATTCGTCGGTAAACACTTCGCATGCCAATAGGTCTTCAGTGTTCTGCAAACCATTCATTTGCAATGGACCTGGTAGTGGAGAAACGGTCCCTTAAGGCCAATAATCTTAGGCGGCGATCTTCACGGTCTGTTGTTCTACGGCGGCGTCCAGTGCCCCTTGCTCTTTGCGTACGGCCTTCTCGAAGCCATGCCTGACAACACCTAACCACAGTGTCTACACTTCTTTGCACTCTAACTGCAATTGCCCGAAAAGAAAGTCCAGCTTCCCGAAGTCCCACTATACGGCCCTTATCAAACTCACTAAGTTGACGAAGTCGTACAGGTCTCCGTACTCTAGGCATCGTAACCGATCGTAAAGGATGTCAAGAACCAAAATCCGCCAACGTTGATTCTTTACTGCGGCTGAAATATTCATTTTTAGAGCGTTAGTGAATTAAAAAAAACGCAGTATAAAAACCGGAATGTCCAACTGATAAGGCTGAACATTTTTTCACTTGTTATTTACAGTAAGATAAATACATTCACCAACTTTTATTAAAATAAAACCATTTAAACTGGGTGTCGGATTTATATGTCACTTAGTATACTTTTAAAAGTTTTTTGACTATTATAGTTTGTACATAGAATATTACAATACAATTTCTGAATCCCCAAGAGAGTGAGAAAATGGCTCCGACATTAAAATTCGCTAGTAGAGGCCGATTTCTTGTCAAAATCTCCACAACCCGATAAAACGCAGCACTGGGTGTGAAATTAGGTCACTACTGCTGGCTGTGGGCCGCTGAACACCTACACGAGAGCACCGGAAATAGCACCAAGTCATATTCAGCTCTCGTGTTTACCCTAGACAGAAATTACATAAAATGACCTTTAACGAGTGGAGTACGATTTTATACCATAAAATTATTAGACCAAGAAAAGTGTTTGTCATAAAAATAACATCGATATTTATTAAAATTGCTATAAAATTATTATTCTAAATAAGTAGAACGTTGTAATAATTTACTTTGTCAAGATACAGTTAATTTTTAGGCGACCATAAAAAGAAACTGTAACATGTTTCATATACAGTATGTCTATTTTTGACTATATTCCTATACTACCTTGTAGTCCAATGGAAATAAATTTTATTTATTTATTTATTTCAAACGTATTTTACCGATAGGTCGTCTCCACAACCCGATAAATCCTCAGCACTGGGTGTGAAATTATATCACTACCACGGGCTGTGAGCCGCTGAACTCCTACACGAGAGCACCGGAATAGCATCAAGTCACATTTAGCTCTCGTATTTACGGTCGCCACAAATTACATAAATGACCTTTAACGAGTGGAGTACGATTTTATACCATAAAATTATTAGACCAAGAAAAGTGTTTTGTCAAAAAATAAAACCGATATTTATTAAAATTGCTATAAAATTATTATTCTAAATAAGAAGAACGTTGTAATAACTTACTTTATCAAGATATAGTTAATTTTTAGGCGACCATAAAAAGAAACTGTAACATGTTTCATATACAGTATGTCTATTTTTGACTATATTCCTATACTACCTTGTAGTCCAATGGAAATAAATTTTATTTATTTATTTATTTCAAACGTATTTTACCGATAGGTCGTCTCCACAACCCGATAAATCCTCAGCACTGGGTGTAAAATTATTTCACTACCACGGGCTGTGGGCCGCTGAACTCCTACACGAGAGCACCGGAAATAGCATCATGTCACATTTAGCTCTCGTATTTACGGTCGCCAGAAATTACATAAAATGACCTTTAACGAGTGGAGTACGATTTTATACCATAAAATTATTAGACCAAGAAAAGTGTTTTGTCAAAAAAATAACATCGACATTTATTAAAATTGCTATAAAATTATTATTCTAAATAAGAAGAACGTTGTAATAACTTACTTTATCAAGATATAGTTAATTTTTAGGCGACCATAAAAAGAAACTGTAACATGTTTCATATACAGTATGTCTATTTTTGACTATATTCCTTTACTACCTTGTTGTCCAATGGAAATAAATTTTATTTATTTATTTCAAACGTATTTCACCGATAGGTCGTCTGCACATCGACATGAACCTGCTCAAAGTGAACGCGGAAGTCCAAAACTCGATCAACCCAGGAGCCAATTCAACGTGAAAGGCGAAGTCAAGAGGCAACCCGACGAATACGACGCGAGCCTCCAAGTTATCCACGGAGCTGATCTGTCTTCCAAAACTAACAGGATCAACCTGGCCGGCAAGCTGGTTAGGAAATACAAGAGCCCACAAGACTTCCTGTTCAAGTTGGAAGGCAAAGCTTCCTACCCTCTGATAGGAGTCAATGGAGAATTGGAGGTGAGATAAAAAGTTGTACATGATGAATCTCATATGTTCAATATGCTCTATTTTTCTCTGTTTGACTTTAACAACTCAAAAAATAAATATTATTGCTAACGGGGATCGATAACCCTCTCGGTCAAACAAGACCTAAATCCTATTCGACACATATACTGACTTATAAATCCGAACACCCAGTTTAAATGGTTTTATTTTAATAAAATTTTGTATAAGTACTTAATGAAGCATAATAAGTAAATGATAAAAATTTCAAAATGATTGCCCTTTGACCTTTAATAATGTGTGGATGCACCCTGATGTGCTACGCATTCTCCAACGCGCCTAGGCATGCTTCTGGTCAGGTGGTCAATGTCCTCCTGTGGTATCTCATTCCAGGCAACCACCAACTCGTCTCGAAGTGCTTCTAGAGTCTGAGGAGAACGTTGCAAATTGAGCAATCTAATACCCATCATATCCCACACGTGCTCAATTGGGGATAAGTCGGGAGATCTTGGTGGCCAAGTCTATTGTGATTCTTGCAACATGTGGTCGGGCATTATCTTGTTGGAAAGTTGGATCTGCCAGGGTGACAAGATAGGGTAAAAGATGGGGTTCTAGAACTTCGTGGATATAACGCTGCGCGTTCATGTTACCTCTGATGAAGATTAAAGGTGACCTGGAACCATAAGCTATAGCACCCCAAACCATAACCTCCACAGTGTGATGAACATGTCTTTCAACAAAAAACTGTGGATTCCTCCTTTCACCACGTCGCCTTCTAACCCTGGCACGACCATCGTGCATGCCTAAACAAAATCGAGACTCGACACTAAAGACAATACTGTTCCATTCCTGATCCCAGAGTGACCGTTGTCTGCACCACTCAAGGCGATTACGTCGGTGTTCTCGAGTTAAAGGGAGGACCCAGTGTGGCCGGTATGAAAACAAGCCAAAACTTCTATTCGTCGGTAAACACTTCGCATGCCAGGTCTTCCGTGTTCTGCAAACCATTCATTTGCAATGGACCTGGTAGTGGAGAAACGGTGCCTTAAGGCCAATAATCTTAGGCGGCGATCTTCACGGTCTGTTGTTCTACGGCGGCGCCCAGTGCCCCTTGCTCTTTGCGTACGGCGTCTCGAAGCCATGCCTGACAAACACCTAACCACAGTGTCTACACTTCTTTGCACTCTAACTGCAATTGCCAGAAAAGAAAGTCCAGCTTCCCGAAGACCCACTATACGGCCCCTATCAAACTCACTAAGTTGACGAAATCGTACAGGTCTCCGTACTCTAGGCATCGTAACCGATCGTAAAGGATGTCAAGAACCAAAATCCCCCAACGTTGATTCTTTACTGCGGCTAAAATATTCATTGTTAGAGCGTTAGTGAATTAGAAAAAGCACTATAAAAACCGGAATATTCAACTGAAGGCTGAATTTCACTTGTTATTTGCAGTAAGATAAATACATTCACCAACTTTTATTAAAATAAAACCATTTAAACTGGGTGTTCGGATTTATATGTCACTTACTATAAAACATTGCTTTATTTGTAGAGGAAGTACAGCATATTTGGAATACTGCTTTGTTTTTTGGAAATAAATCGTGGATAGCAAAATAAAAGATGAATTAAATTATTGGGAAATCATTAAATTTTAATGTTATAAACAATCAAACAAAACAAAAACCACATTAAAATATTATCAACGTAAAAACTTCAAAGGCGTAAATTTACTTAGGGTGCAGATAATTTGGAATACAGTATTCCAAACTATAATAACCTTTTTTTGACAATTGTTTACACTTTTTCTAAGGAACTAATAAATTTCTAACTTTGTAACCATTTTACAGTCTTTGATAATTAATCTGTTTAACAAAATAGCTTATAATTATTAAGTAATCAATCGCAATAATCACAAATAATTTAGCCTGAACTTACAGTTTAGTCTCAAATGTCAAGATGGCGTCCTGTTTTTAGTAATTGGGTTCATGTGATTTACGACAGTTTATTCATGGCAAAAAGTACAGTACTCCAAATATGCTGCACTTCCTCTATCTTATATTTTCTTCGATGTTTATGATTAAAAGGACATAATTTACTAAATCTTCTTCAAAACCTTTCTTTTTAGCAACAATTTGTACTTCAATTCTAGGTACATAAAACTTTATTTACAATTAAACTGCTGTCTTGATTCGGGTCTAAATGCCGCCGTCGGTTGGTATTCTCTCCCTAACGTTTCGCTAGCACGAGTGGCAAGCTTCTTCAGAGGTCCTTCCATTTCCGTTGCTGGAGGTAGACTGACGTATCCTGTGTATCCTGTGGTCCCCATTGCTTAGTGCATGTTCAGCTACCGCAGACTTCTCTGTTTGTCCTAGCCGGCAATTTGCATGCGCTTCTTGAGTCTCGTTCCCATTGATCTTTTCGTGGTTCCAATGTATACTTTGCCACATGAACACGTATGCGGTAGACTCCCGCAGCTGAGAGTGGGACCTTCTTGTCCTTTGCCGATCTGATGGTTTGTTGGATCTTCTTCGTATTCTTGAAGATTGTTTTAATGGCATGTCTCTTCAGGACCCTGTCAATCCTGTCCGTCACTCTTGGCACAAATGGAAGATACGCTTGAGAGGTGGTGGGTCGCTGTTCGGTATCACGTGGCCTGGCTGATCTTGAGCCCATTGATCTTTCGATGTCCCTCTTGCTGCAGGCATTTGCCTCGAACGCAGTTTTCAGGTGTTCAAGTCTGGAGGTTCTCCGGTTCGGAAATCCTTCGAGCTCGTTCTGTCAGGGTTCCGATGACTCCATACTTCTAACTTGGGTGATGATTGGACAAAGTGTGCAGGTATCTGTCTGTGTGCGTTGGTTTCCTGTACGCTGTGTGACCCAGCTTGTTACCTCGCTTCTTGACTGGTATGTCCAAGAAGGCCAGTTGTTGGTCACTCTCTATCTCCATGGTAAATTGTATGCTTGGATGCCGATCGTTGAGGTGCTGCAGAAACTCGTTTAGGCCTGTCCGTGCTATGTTTCCAAATCAGGAACCGGAACCGGAACCAAAATTGCTGGTTCGTTCTCCGATGTCTCAACCGCCTTCTTCTCAAAGTGTCCCATAAAAGGTTGGCTATAACTGGGCTAAGTGGACTTCCCATTGCCACTCCGTCTGTCTGCTCATAAAAGCCCCCGTCCCATACGAAATAGTTTCCTGTGAGACAGATTTCAAAGAGCTTGCAGATGTCAGAAGAGAAGATCCTGCTCACCAGATCCAGGCATTCCCTCAGCGGTACCTTGGTGAAAAGGGAGACGACATCGATGCTCTCAAGGATGTTGTCGGGTTCAGCTACGATGTCCTGAATCTTGCGACGTATGGTTGCAGCAGGGATGCCAAGTGTTTCGCTAAGTATTACGTCGGCGATCCAGGAGCACTGACTATTGGTCTGACTATTGGTCTCAATGAAACATCTGCCTTGTGGACCTTGGGCAGGCCGTAGAGCCGTGGTGGAACCGCGTCCGTCCTCGTAACGCTCTTCTTGGTGTCTTCCTGGCAGTGATATAGCTTGATGAGGCGGTTGGTAAGGCGTAGTCGGGCTTGCGTTGGATCCTTCTTCAGCGGTTTGTAACCTTCTGGGTTCAATAATCTTCCTTTTGTAGACCTCGGTCTTCAGAAGAAACGGTTGCAATGCCTTTGTCGGCTGGGAGTATGATGATATCCTCGTCGTTATTCAAGTTCCGTCCTCGTCAGGTTGCTTTTTGGTAGTTACGCCCTTCTAAGAATGTTGGCTGTCCTCCATTATTTACAATTGTTTTGACATTATTCCAGCAAAATTAGAGGGAATGCGTTTGAAAAAAGAACTTTCAATTTTCTTTTTACACTTTATTGTCTACACAAGCCAGCTCAACCAAGTTTTTTCTAAATATTACCTCCATATCTTCGTCTCCAGGTTGAACAGACCCCCAAGAGCGTCAAGTACGACGCAGACCTGCAATATAACGATCTCAAGTTTGGGCTCAGAACTGGACGTGAACATCAACAAGAAAGAACACGGAGACTTCGATGTCGATTTCGAAGTATACGGCATGGACAAAAGGTGGAATTCAAAGCCAGCAGACAAATACAAGGTGAAGAGAGCAAAATCAGCAACGAGCTTGTGGTCAACGATGCCAAGATTGAAGTCAAAGGAAAAATCAAGCACCATTTGCAGCCAAACAATGTGGATGTAGGAGCTGATCTCGTGGTCATTCTGCCTCACCACAATGCTCCATTCAAGGTAGGCAAAGTCAATATTTCTCTTGCTTTTATCAGTCAAAATGGATATGGAGCAATTTCGTTTAGAGGCACGCATGTATTTGCTCTTGATGTTATAGAGGTTTTCAGTCAGCTGAGGCTTGCTACAATTTCTTCTCTGACAAAATACCTAAAGATAATCACTGTTTGGAGACGTAGATGTTTGGTGTAGTTCGATAATTCTAGACCACAGTACACCTTAACAAATTGAGGCGCTCATTTGGTTTTGGTGGATCACCGAGCTCTATAAGGAATCTATTGATTTCGACTTGTCGGCGATCATATTATTGAGGTTTGACGAGGACACGTCATATCAACCGTAGCAGATGCTGGGAAGAATCTGAGCACTAGTTTTCACCTACTTAACCTCTTGACTCTGTGCAAGGCCTTCATCAAACCCGGACTAGTGTACTGAACCGTATCTAAGATACTACTGCTCCATACTTAAGGTTCTCCAGCAACTGATTGAAGGCACTGTAGCAGACCTTAACAGGTCTGAGGCCTCTCGCACATCGATCACTGATTCAGCTCTGTTCTGCCGATATGCCAACGGAATTTGCTCCTCTGCGTCGTCAGTAAACATGTATTTGGCACCGGGCCAAGCAATGACTGCAACTACGATCGGTGTATTACAATAAGAATGTTTCGTTCCAGGTGAACAGCGGCTTGAAATATAACGCCCAAGAAGTCGACGCACACCACAAGGTGGTCAGCGGCAGTACCGTCATCATCGACGCTTTCATCAAGGCCAACCGCCAAGGCACAGCCAACGCCAGCATCAAGGTCAACGTCAAGGACATGCTCGTCGTCAACGGTCAACTCAAGGCCAACAAGGGAACCGGCAACGGTGACATCCTCATCGACGCCCAGAATATCAAGAGCAGGTCAAGATGGAGACGACCTTTACCATCCAACCTCCAACCACTGTTAACGTTGATTTTACGATCTATCCCCAGTTCGCCACCGATAAGAACAGCAAGGTACACTTCTCCACCACCAACAAGTTGAACCCCAACAGTGTCAACTCAAAGAACGTTGTGGACATTTTGGGCAAGCAATTGGCTGTGAATGTTAACGGCCAAAGAACTGGAGATCCGATGAATGGCAAGTTGAACGCTGAGGCTGAGGTTATTTTGCCTGACAACCAGTACTTGCTGGGTAAGATCAATGGGGATAGGAAGGAGCAGAACGGTGTTATCAATGGACAGGGTATCTTCAGCTTGGAATACAGGTAAGAAATATTTAACCCAGAAACGATAAGCACGTGGAAATGACCTTACAAACTGGCCATGAAATGAAAATCACTAGTCGAATGTCGTAAAGTAACGAGAGAAATGACCTCCGATTGCTCACTGACAAACGTCAATAATACGTCATTGGTAGACGTGAAGATGACGTCTATTATTTATAATGAAGTGTTACCAGTAGTTTTACAGAGACGAATCTCAATCTTAAAGGACTTCCAGATTTGAAAATTTGAAAATTCTGAGAATATTGAAAATTTAGAAAATTAGGAAAATTAAAAATCATGGAAATTCTGAAAATTTTAAAATTTCGAAAATATCAGAAATCATGGAAGTTTTAAAAATACTGCAAATCTCGAAAATTTTGATTTGGAAACAGCAAATTTTGAGAATTTCGAGAAATTTACAATTCTGAAATCTTTGAAACTACCCGAAAACTTTTAAAGTTTAGAAATCTAGAAAATTTTTGAAAATTAATGAAAATTTTGGGAATTATGCAAATTTTCAAACTGAAAAAATCTGGGAAATTTTGAATATTTTGAAAGTTTTGAAGATTTTGAGGATTTTCAAAATTCGTGTAAGTCTAGAAATTTTAAATTTTTAATAGGTACTCCACAAATTTTGAGAAACATGAGAATTTGAAAATGTTGTAAATTTTGAAAATATTGGAAATATTGAAAATTCTGAATATTTTGAAAATTTCTGACTTTTTGGTAAGTGAAAATCTCGAAAATCTTGGAAAATATCGAACTTTTTGAAAACCTAGCAATCGTGAGCAGCATGAGAAAATTGAAGATATTGATAAATTTGAAAATTTTGCTAAATTTTGAATATTGGAGAAGTTTGAAAATTTTGAAAATATCAGATCTGAAAATTCGAATATTTTGAAAATTTTGGAAATCTCAAAAATTCAGAGTTTTGAAAATTTGAAAATTTTAAATATTCGGAGAAGTTTTGAAATTTTGAAATTTTTAAGATTTTGAAAATTTTGAAAAATTCTAATATTTTGAAAATTTTGGAAATCTCAAAATTTTGAGTTGGGAAATTTGAAAATTTAAAAATTTTGAAGATTTTCAAAATTTTGAAAATTTCGATTTTGAAAATTTTGGAAATCTCAAAAATTTGAAAGTTTTGGAAATTTTGAAAATTTTTATATTTGGAGAAGTTTGAAAAATTTTGAAGATTTGAAAATTTTTTAAATTTTGAAAATTTCGAATATTTTGAAAATTTTGGGAATATCTAAAATTTTGAAAGTTTGGAAATTTTGAGAATTTTAAAATTTTGAAAATCTTGAAAACCGAAAATTTCAAAAATTTGAAAATTCTGAAAATTTTGAAAATTCATCATTACTCAAGGAAGCGTTATTGTTTGTTTAAATCCAAAGAAAGAACAGACCTCAAACTGGACTCAATCCACAAGGAAACGTCCATACGTGACCCTAAATCTCAATGTTTAATTATATATTAACATATACGTAACACAATTGGAGTCAGGTTCACCCACTCAATGAAGAGATTGAATGCAGTTGCTCTTCATTTTACAATGTTCCTTTGCTCAAAGTTTCGTCCCCAGAGAAACCTTGCCCATCAGGAACAAACATCGCCACTACAAATTTTTTGATGTACCAAGACAAACTTACGATATGCACATTTTCAGAGTGAACAAGAACACCCCCGGACGCAAACTGAGTCTGAAGGCTGTCTCAAAGGACACCAACCCTAAAGAAGGTATCTATGACCTGAACTATAACCTGGCTGCTGACATCAGTGATGGAAAGAACATCAATGCAGACATCTCCATCCAGGCTTCCAAACAAGGAGACGAAAGAACTGTCACCTACAGGTACCTATTATATTATTCTTTATGCCTTCACGTTTTTACCTCTCGCAAAAGCTAAAGAGCTGTCATCCATCCTTACCCTGTACAAAGCTTAAAACCAGACCTGGAACCGACTTAGTGGAACTTCTTAGCAACTTCACATCAAGTTACATCCTGGTCTAGAATAGCTCATGTTTCTGGTGAGGATTCTTTGATGGATCACTATTCAGTTCTATCCAATAAGCTTACGTACTTTTTGAAGAGGGCTACCCGACTGATGGATGACTTCTCCAACGGACAAATTATACTTACTCAAAACTGTGACTCTTGTTACCGACAAATCCCGAAGTATTGGAGAAACAAGCTCGCCCAGTGTGCGTGCTCAAGAGTCTGCGTCACTCCACAAACACTATATTCACATTGAACTGTTGTTTCAGAACAAAGTATACGGAACCCTTCTGGAGAATCCATTGACTGCCAACTTCCAAGGAAAATACAAACGAGGTGTATCTGGAACCTACGATGCTCTGCCTCATATGGAGCCAACGCTGTACTCAGACTGAAAGGTAGGAAATAAAAAATTTCAGTTACAATCAATCTAACGAATAAGCGTCCATAAAATTCAATATGATCTAGTGTGATTAATAAACAATTGTTTTTTTCAAATAAAGGCAAACATGACATTCCTGGAGAAGGAAAACCACTTACCGTTGACATGGAAATGGATTTGACCACACCTAGCAAAGCTTTAAAAACCGTCAAAGCTGGAACGTCGCTCTCTCTACTTCATGAACGATCTGCAGGACTTCAATTGGCTGGAAGTGCTCATCTATTTGTTGATGACGATGGAGTAAGTATTAATCACACAAATACTGCGTTTGTTTGCATAAAAAAAATCTTACTGTTCATATTGAGAAAAAGTGAAAAAATGGGATTTGCAGATGTATCACCATCCTCCATAAAGTCAGAACTTGGACAACATTCAAAGAAGAAAGATCTAGTACAGACAACAAACTGGTTTCATAATCAATTATTAACTATTAACACAGCCAACGTCAACTACGAGCCGTGATGAAAGAAAGGCAAACACCGCGCTCGGATTGCGTGGTAGTGCTACCTGTGAACGTCGGCCGCCAGCGGCTGTGTGCTCCGTCTCCATGTAACGTTCAAGAACTAAATTTAATTTGGAAAAGAGGACAGTTCGATTCGATACAAATCGTCTGAATATGAAATAGCTCTAAAAAATTTAAAAATACGAAATAATCGTGATATATATGAGTCGCTAATGCAGTTAACACGTTCACTGCGAACGACGCTGATCCGCGTTCCGACCGATGTTTAACGAAAGGCGGCGGGCGCGGATCCGCGCTTCTGGCTGATATAAAACTCACAAGACTGTGGTGTTGTCAGTTTGTACCGCACTCGCTTTCTGTTTGGTCACCTACATATTGAACATCTTTTTGGACTATTTTACGTGTAGGATCAAGTTTCGTTTATTTTTACATTGCGCAATGGCGGATGATGTGGAAGCAGGTTGTTCACGTCCAAAACGAGTGAAAACGTATTGTAACCTTAATAAAGGGCTTACAGAAAAAGAACTGTATGATATTCTTGCCAATTCGGGGAGTGAAATCGAGATCTAAGTGACTCAGACAATTATGTTCCCAGTTCAGATGGAAGTGAGCAGTCTGATGGAAATATATCTGAAACGAGTGATGATTTTTCCAGCCCACAGAAAAATCTTAATAGGGTTTCAAGACATGTTTCGTGTTACTGCACGAAAAAAAACGAGATAGAAGAAGAAAATGTATATATGAAATAGTTTTCAATTACACAACGCACATCCAATAGGCTTACGACGCGAATCCGCGCTTCGCTTGTGCAGCGCCTAAAATCGTTTAGCCGCTACCGCGCGCGCGGCGCGAGGCAGGTCGCAGCGAACGTGTTAACCTAATTAAAAGTATTTAGTTTACGTTTTTTGGTGTCAGCACCACTGTGTTCCAACAGGCCCAGCTTGGAAATGTGGAGTTACCTGATTGTTTTTAATACATTTACTTTCAGTTTTACTGTTATTTTTCAATTTTACATAATCATTCAAATTATGTTTGAAAAATAGACAAAAGCTTAGATAAAATATCTGCATAATTGCGGCCACAGATGCAATTCACTGTATATAAAGTCAGACTGAATGCTGAGCAAGGTTAACTGACACAAAATAAATTTTTGATTATTGCTTTTCAAGAAGAAAATTTCCAATCTATCTACATCAATAATAGATTCAAAAATGGCATACATATGGTAGAATATGATTGGTACATAACTGGTTGGAATTGACAGTCCTCCTCTTTGCAAATGATCAAAATAAACATTTGTTGTTAATGAACCTTTTTCTTTAACTATTAGCGATTTGCATATCTCGCAGTTTAGGTTTTTAGAGATAGCGTGTGAAGCATATCCAGATATATAAGTCTTAGTACTATCCTCTATGTCACAATTGGCTAAGTAATTTGTCTCAAATACTTCATTGAATATATCCAAAACTTCAGGATTTTGTTTGGTATCCAAGAAATCAAAATTTTCTTGAGTTTCTAAGCAGTTTTGGAACCTTGTTTTAATTTCTGCTAAAGAAAATGACGATTTCTTTTCATTGAAAATATGCTTCAGCCGTATTTTCTTTTCAGCATTTAAAATTTCATCATATGACACATTGTAATTGCAGCCACATAAAAGTCTATAATTGCAAATCGTTTTTCTAAATTGTCAGTGATGATTTTCCAGGCAATACATACTCAATGTCAAATTGATTAAATGAATATTCAATTATATTAAGTAGAGTCAGCGTGCTTTGATATATACGTTTCTGGTGTCAGGTGTCCATTATTATTCTCTAGATTATGCCATTTTTCTAACCATATCAGGAATTTTTTTAAAAATTGTACTCTATAATCATATTTATTGGTAATAGGCTTACGAAATTCGTTTCGCTTCAATTCTCCTTTTATTACACTTGTATTACTGACAATATTCCACCAATTCCTGATTATTTCCAAAAAGTGTGCAGCATCATTAAACTTTAATTCTTTCATAGCAGCTATTGTTGAGTGATGGAATAAATTATCTACAAAATTTACATTTTGCCTTTCAAATGAATTTGGATGCAATGTTTTATAATTTAATTTATATGCTTTCTTAACTACAGCTTCTTTTTCCAATTGATATACAGCACGAATGTTTTCAAATTTAGCATACTGAATAATATCATTATTGTCAAAATTAGGATATACAAAAGCTTTGTCTAGCTTTTTTAAATTAATCCAATTATTTCTGATACTCTTGAAAATATGCACAACATCATAAGTTAATACATGTTCTTATCAGGATTATGTGGATTTGGAATAGAATAATTTTCTGATGAATCCTTTGCTAATTTCCTGAACATTGCTCTATTAATTCGGTGATTATCAGTAACAACACAAATAACTTCAACCCACATTTTTGAACTAAATTTATCTTTGATCTTATCCATATCATCGAAATTCTGGATAGCTTTTTCATGTTCTCAATTAATTTTGTTTTCTTTGCATTGGGTCAGTTCTTTTGGGTGCTTCAGTTTTTGAAAGATATGATGGCAAGTTTGGGAAAATGGAGGGAACAGCATTTTCTTTCAATTTTGGATATTTCAAAGGTATATTATTTTGGACTGTTCCATCCGCCAAAACTATATTTTCTGTCCTGATGATATCCGATTCTCTAAAATGACGACTGCACACAGCTGAATATTTTGAAGGTGTCCAATTTTTTTGGGAATTGCCATAAAGCCATTTGTTTTTCAGACTTTCGGTACTTGGGAAGCGAAAAGTTGAAACATAGCTTTCTATTTTCAAAGCAGAATTATAGTTTGCATTGCATAAAGGAACACAGCAACAACGAGGCATATTGTCTGCGTCAAATACTTGATAAATGAAAAAAGAAAAATACAACCTGAATTTGCAGGTTTTCAATAGTTGAAATCCTTAGCGTCCTGAGGCGCGAACAGCCACAGTCACACTTCTTAGTTTATTTTTAAAGCACAGAAGCACTACAACTGAGTCTATTTCTCATATATTATAGTTACCGATCACTTTGAACACATACACACACTTTGAAGCTTAGAAAACAAGCTTATCTCTTAATTACAGCCTCTGGGATTCCAAAATCACAAATTGAAAAGGTTATGTTTTCTCAGCGTTTTGAGCACGAGTTGCGTCGATGCAGCAAGCAGCGGCGGGAGTAACACTACCACCTACGTTGCCAGATTCTTTGTTCACGGCTCGTAGTTGACGTCGGCTGTGCTATTAAATATAAAAACATATTTTGTTCCCTTCACTAGATTTATCGGTCAAGTTCAGAAATGTCTTGGAAGGAATTTGAATCCATTGGATTGGGGATGGACTAAGACCGAAGAATATATACAGCCAAAACAAACTCTATTGCCACCTGCTCCAGCTGTCTTATTAAACACAATCTTTTGTAATTGTACGAAAGGTTGTGGAGCTAATTGCGGATGAAGGAAATTTGGCCTGCAGTGTTCCCCCATTTGCGGCTACTGTTATGGACAGTCATGTCTGAATATGATCTCGAATAATGTGAAATTCGTTGAGAATATAGATCCCATGAATTTCCTATGCTCAACACTTGAGGTTGGCGAAGACTTAGATAATGCCGCATCATGTCACATTGATGACTAAGGAAAAAAGTAACAATAACATCATTTTTCCATTATATCTTCGCAGATTAGGCCTATTGGGGAATCCACATGAAAAAAAAACGCGTCTGGTACTCTACCTCTATGGTGACGTGGAAAAAAGTACGTTATTTTACAATTTTCTCGATGTTCAACATTGAAAGTAAAATTTCCTTGGAAAAACGATCTCCACAAAAAAATGCGTTGACCCTTTTTGTGGAGAATTTCATACTGAACAAAAAAGGTAATTACTCATTTTATCGTAGAATTGATATTTTCTAAGATATATGGAAAACAGTGACTTTGACCCACCCCATAAAAAAAGCTCCACTTGGATTCATGGGGACTTTTGAGGGATGATACTGAAAAGAAGCTCTGGTAAAAAATTCAGCCAGGTGGGAATTTTTACAGCAGAGAAAGTGTAATAGTCTTGGACCAGTAGCTGTTCATTTGACACTACCAAATCTTCACATAGAATACTCATTCTCATCCCATGAGCCTTATTATTACGAAGACGTTTATAGAGACTTTACTTATATACAGGCAATGATTCCTCTTTATCCGCTCCAAGTTTAGCTTCAAATTTCTTGAATGGACTACCCAGTCTCGGTATATGCTCCTTCCTCTCTCCTTCTATTCTATGCTGTTCCAAAGAAACTTTGAAGATGCCCAGCTGACATTTTTCCTGGGCATAAGATACCAATTATTGTAATTGACACTTTGTTGATTCCTAATACAGGGTGGCACATCGAAAACGAAAAAGACGCATTTACTGGCAGCTCAGTTTTTTTTTGAAAAACGCTCAGACGCGTCGATTTTGTTGTCGAGGGGGGGCACAAGTTTGGCAAAAAATCACGTTAACACGTGCACCCCCCTGGGCGGGGGTGCCACCAACCCTAAAATCTTAAATGGAAAGGGGGGTCGAGTGATACCTTATTTTAAAGGTCTTTCAATTTCCTTTATAATCATGTAAAATACATGAGCTTCAGTTCAGTAGTTTTGAAGATTTATTGATTTAAAGCTTAAAGTAGACTTTAATAGGTACATCAGATTAGTTTGTACTACTTTCAGAAGAAATTTGACTAAAAGAATTTACTTAATAAGTAAATGCTTTTCTTCACTACGCCCATGGTTTGTTTATCATTTTGTTGTTGAAAATAGGTATTGGAGCGTTTTTTTTTTTTTGGCAAAAAAGTTATTTCTTGAAGAAACTTTTAAGGAAATATCTCGCACTTATTTTAAATAGGAATTTAGTACATAGTTTGCGATTGATTTGACCAAACTTTGTTGCTAAAATAACTTGTAACTCTTTATTACATAAATTAACCATGGTGTATTCCACAGCAGAAATAGCTGAAATTATTGAAATATTTAATGAGCGACATGATCGCCAGATTTATCACCTTTGGATTTCTTTATGTGGAGTCATTTAAAAAGCAAAATCTATGCTACTCAGCCAACATCATTAGATGACCTGCGACAAAGAATTGTGAATGAGTGCCTTCAAATTACTCCTCAAATATTGCAAAATGTACGGCAACGTTTTGAGCAAAATCTTTATTATTGCATGGAGAGTCATGGTGGCCATTTTCAACATTTACTTACCTAACGGGGATCTTTAAACCAATGAATCTTCAACACTACTGAACTGAAGTACATTAATTTTATATCATTATAAAGGCAATTGAAAGACCTTTAAAATAAGATATCACTCGACCCCCCTTTCCATTTAACATTTTGGGGGTGGTGTCACCCCCGCTTAGGGCGGCACATGCTAACGTGATTTTTTGCCAAACTTGTGTCCCCCTCGAAAACAAAATCGACGGGTCTGAGCGTTTTTTAAAAAAAAGCTGCCAGTAAATGCGTCTGTTTCGTTTTCGATGCGTCACCCTGTTTATCGAAAATAAGGCACAATCTCCTAGAAGGCTTTTTCCAGTTCTACTGGCGTTCAAAACTCAAGCTTATTAACCTCTTGTTTCAGTCTGTCCCCGAACCAATCATCGACTTCAAAGGTGACGGTTACATCAAGGCTACCGAACACAATGGCGAGATGAAAGCTAATTTGCAATACGGCAAACATGGACCGATCTCTGGCCTTGCTGGATACAGCCTGACCACAGATGGAAAGAAGAAGCAGATCAACGGCAACCTGGCTCTGCAGTACGACCAAGGCAAAAACGTGAAAGTTGAAGCCGCTCTCACCAAGAAGGAAGATCACGAATACAAGCTGGACGTCAACATGGAAACACCGGTTGAGAATCTGAAAAAGGTCAACTTGATGGTGCACACCAAGAGGTGAGTTATTTCTGGAATTTCAAAAATTGGAAATCGTCTCAGATTATACTGGATGGTTCGTAATAAAAGCGCCATGCTATGGATTAAACTCGTGGAAATAATTATATTGTTGCAAATACTAGCGTTGATTAAAAAAAATATACTAAGTGACATATAAATCCGAACACCCAGTTTAAATGGTTTTATTTTAATAAAATTTTGTATAAGTACTTAATGAAGCATAATAAGTAAATGATAAAAATTTCAAAATGATTGCACTGCTTTAAAGCCCTTTGACCTTTAATAATGTGTGCACCCTGATGTGCTACCAGGCAACCACCAACTCCTCTCGAAGTGCTTTTAGAGTCTGAGGAGGACGTTGCAAATTGAGCAATCTCCTACGCATCATATCCCACACGTGCTCAATTGGGGATAAGTCGGGAGATCTTGGTGGCCATGGTAACAATGTGACATCATTATGTTGAAAGAAGTCTATTGTGACTCTTGTAACATGTGGTCGGGCATTATCTTGTTGGAAAGTTGGATCTGCCAGGGTGTCAAGATAGGGTTCTAGAACTTCGTGGATATAACGCTGCGCGTTCATGACACTTCTGATGAAGATTAAAGGTGACCTAGAACCATAAGCTATAGCACCCCAAACCATAACTCCAACAGTGTGATGAACATGTCTTTCAACAAAAAACCGTGGGTTCCTCCTTTCACCATGTTGCCTTCTAACCCTGGCACGACCATCGTGCATGCCTAAACAAAATCGAGACTTGTCACTAAAGACAATACTGTTCCATTCCTGATCCCAGAGTGACCGTTGTCTGCACCACTCAAGGCGATTACGTCGGTGTTCTCGAGTTAAAGGGAAATTTACGTACTTACTGACTACAAATTTTGGCTTAACTTAGAAAAACTTAATGCCATTTATTTGTTAATTACCCAATTTAAAAACGTTTTAGATTAGATTATAAAAATTAGTAAGATTGTGGTCAATATGAAGCACTTAAAGTTGTAAACTATTACGTCTACACCCTGTATAAGGAGTTTAGGTATACAGGATGTCCGAAAGCCCACAATCATTTGTGAACTGGAATCATGCTAGGAAAAAATAAGCTCCGCCATTGACAGGAGTTTTTTCCAGCTATCAAATGGAAAGATTGGATTTGACATTGGCAGTGACCTTTAGGGTCATTTGAAAGTCGAGTAGATTTTTTAAATATAACCACTCATTTTTGACCCAGGAAATGAAAAACAATTACGTTCAAATATAGCTTGACCATTCATAAATTTTGACCGTAAAAGATCATGCCAAGATCAAACCCAGGTACGGTGATGTGAATTGAAAGCCAGTATAGGGGAAACTGCCGAGACAGTTTACATGATTTTGCCCGGATATCAAATGGTGACCTTGTATCACCTTCAAGGTCATTTGGAGGTCAAGTTCATTTTTGTAGCCGATACTTTACGAAAACGTTGAAAATCCCGAAAAATAATCTAAATCAAACATCATTTTTAGGTCTCCAGATCAGAAACACGTCGAAAGCAAAGTAGAGCTGAATGCTGATGGAAAGGTTTGGCATGTAGACACTGAGGTCAAGGTATCAGAAATCGCCCCGTTGCTCAACATCAAGGTTAAGTGTCCTGAAGGAAAAGTATCGCAGATCTTCTTCAAAGGAAACAAGGTAACCCCTAAAAACATTTGGATTTAAAAAATTGGTTTCGCTTCCATTCGCATCGATTTTCAGTAAATCTCAACAGAATTACTAGAGTTTCTTATTATGAAACTCTTCTACATCAGATCAGGGAGCTCATATTTGAGTATATGTACAGATATTCAGAAAGTTCCGATGCGGAAAAATTGTTACATACAATGATATGTTTAAATTTCTTCTTTATTCTATGTCGTTAGGTCCGAAACGTTTTAAACATTCGATTCGACCAGAGACAAACATGGGTCATTATATAAAGGTTTGAGTCAAAGCGCTTTGCTTTAACTGAAATACAAGCCCTGATTGAGATCTTGATCCTACAGCGTATCTAAATCGGTCCATATTTTATTATTAAATAGGATAGTACTTAGATACTCGAATCTGGCACTTCCAATCATTATGTCAACTCAACGAATCCAAAAGTATGATTTTTCAAAATGCTTTTTTTTCACTTATTGCAGTTGTTGCTTGAAATATCTTACTACCCAGCAATTCTGTTTCTGCAATTCTTCCAAAACGTAATTTCACGGAATGCATTATTTTGAATTTTTATTTTCAGATCAGCGACAAGGAATTCAGCGGTGAACTGAAATTGGCCTGCCAAGCAAAGGATTTCCTTTTAGAAGGAAACTTGGACGCAAACATCGATAACATCGACCAGTTCGTTATCAAAGGAAACGTCAACTCGCCGAACTTGAAACTGGACAAGGTGCACTTCGAGGCCCAGAACGAAGCTGCGAAGACCGGCAGGAAGATTCAAATCACAGTCAAATCTAACGGACAAAACCTGTTGAGTGGCAGCACCACCTACAATGCTCACGATGAACACGGAAAATACGTTGTTGATGGTTCTGGATCATTTAAGGTTAGTCACATCTTCTACGTTACTTCGATTTTTATTCCCACACACTATTAGCCTGAAACTCATGTGTCTCGAAATGACCACCATATGTTAACTATAGGTCTCAAGAAATTTCTTCTACATTTCTTACAGTTATCTGATTCATATTGTTATCTTGATATTTTGTGCATGTCCGGTTGTAGTATGGTTAAGTGTTAGAGTGGCCTTAGCTAAACTTCGGCATACTAAGATCAGTTTCTAAATAAAGACATGATTACAACCTGGGCTCCGACGCACTATCATCCATGCCATCGAAAGGTTTCGCTTGGGTAGAAAGCAAAGTATTGCAAGAGTACACTCTTATAACTTAAACTCAAGCTTTCGAAGATCTATGTCTTCATCATCTGGAGCTGGAAAGGATTATTGACAATAGCAACAATAAACAATTAGGAGGAAAAATAGTTACTTACTAAGTTGGCGAGATTGTTACTGAAATTGTTTTTAAACAACAGTGAAGGGAACATATGATCATATGATTTGCCATTTAATAATAAAATAATTCCGTCCTAATCGAACCTCATCAGTCCAGTTTTTTATTCGTCGACTGTGTTTCCTTCACTGTTGTTCAAAAACAATTTCAGCAACAATCTCGCCGACTTAGTAAGTAACTATTTTTCCCTTAGTTATTAATTGTTGCTATTGTCAATGATTGTTTCCAGCTCCAGACGATGAAGACAGATCTTCGAAAGCTTGAGTTTAAGTTATAAGAGTGTACTTTTGCAATACTTTGTCTTCTACCCGAAGAAATTGAAGGATATTTTCTCCTAACAGTTAAGGCAATTAACTATGAATATTACATATATATACTCATATATATATATATATATATATATATATACAGGGTGTCCGCAAAGTTGGGGTTTTCCTTTACATGACGTGTAGATCTTGAAAACATAAGCAATTTTTCTTAGTACCATATACACCAATGTCTTAAGGGAACCGAGATAAAGGGCTCTGCAACATCAAAAATATCTGAATACCGTCCTGTAGCCGCGACATCACCGACTGGTACAAGGTCACTGACTCAACCCGACGACAGAACTGGGTCAGTGTGTCAGGTCAGGTCAGTATGCAACCTTCAACCGACGGTTACGGTCACGCGTGTAGAGGTAATCGCGTAGACGAGAATCCCTCAACAAGCACTAGAGACGTGGCTAGAGAAGTGCAAGTATCAAAAACTAAAGTGTGGCAAACGCTGCGTGAAGAGGGGCTGTATTTGTTTCACGTCCAACGTGTACAAGCCCTTCAACCTGACGATTTTCCAGCAAGAGTGCGGTTTTGTGAGTGGTTGTTGCATCAACATGACAATAATCCGGACTTTTTGAAGTGCATATTGGTGACAGACGAATCTACGTTCACGCGTAATGGGGTGAATAACTTTCGCAACACTCATGTTTGGTCAGTAGAAAATCCGCACGCTGTCCGTCGGGCACATTTTCAACAAACATTTTCGGTGAATGTTTGGGCTGGCATGGTGAACGGTATGCTCATTGGACCATTTATTCTCCGAAATCGATTGGACGGGATGCAATACCTAGACTTTTTACGCAACATTTTGCCTTCCTTGTTAGAAGATGTGCCAAGTGTAAGACAATCAATGTGGTTTCTGCGTCTGCTCGGTAGCGCATCGGCTGATTTCATTTTCTGTTGGAGCGGTATGATTTCGGGCAGAGACGTACTTAGCCCTTCTCGTCAACTGGAGAGTGAGTACTTTTTCCTTTATTTTTTTTTACTTGGTCGCCCTATGTTTCACTACACATTACCTTTGTTATTTCAAGGGTAGTTGTTTCTGTAAAGGAAAACCCCAACTTTGCGGACACCCTGTATATTAATGTATCATCAGCAAATAGTTGAATTTTGCAGTGTTGTAAAGTATCAGGAATATCGTTGATGTATAAAATAAATAGTAATGGACCTAATTTACTACCTTGTGGCACACCTACTGAAATGTTTTTAATGTTTGATAATGTATTGCCAATTTTAGTTCATTGACTTTATTCATTAAATAATTTTGTAATAAGTTGAATACTAAACCTTGAAATCCAAAGCAATGCAATTTCGTTAACAATTTCTCCCTGTCAATAGTCTCAAATGCTCTCTTGAAATCTAAGAACAATGTTACTGTAAAATTTCTTTCATCCTTATTTCGTCTCCATTATTCTTCTACCATTTGAATTGCTGTTTCATTAGAATACTTTTTTCTGAATCCTGCTTGAAATTTTGTCAATATCTTATTTTCTTCAATATATTCAATTACTTGTTCATATATGATTCCTTCTAAGAGCTTCTCGACATCTGGCGGTACATTAATTGGCCGCATGTTTGTATATAACTCAGAATTTTGCACTTTTGGAACAGGAGTAATTGCATAACATTTTAATTTTGAAGGAAGTTCGCCATACACTAAACAGTGATTCACTAACAATAATAACTTCTCTCCACGAGTTGAAAATTCTAGCCAAATGCCGGTGGCAACTGGGAAATTTCTTTCTCCAGTAGGCGTTTATGCCATCCGGGCCAAGGAATTCTTAACACCTATCAAGGCACTACGAATATCTTCCGTGGTTATCGATGGACGTAGTATATCTGCACGGAGTCCTTTGACATAAGGACTCAAACTGCGTCAACGCCGGAGTTCAGCCTGAAAAAGCTTCAATCATTCCCAAGCGCGATCAGCAGCTGGCAGAGGCCGCGCGGCGTACACGCGACGTGAAAAGCCTTCCTTAATATTATCATTATTAAAAGACATAAGCAACAACCTATTGGACTGGGTACCAGAATGCCCTTTGATGAAAGTGTTCAGAAAAACGCCCAGAGTTGTATACAAAATAACGTCCACAAGACAGTTAGTTGTAGATGAGGTTTGTCCTAAACCAGTTCTTATTTTCCCTTTAAGGTCAAGGAAGAAACAAAATCAGCGAACTTCAAATACATCCGTCGTCAATTGTCTCTAGACAAAGACGGTGAACAAGGTATTGACGTCTCTTTCGATGCTACCATCGGCAGCAGAGCTATTGACGCTGAAATGAGACTGACGAACAAGAACCTGAGACAATCCATTTCTTACTGTGAGAAATCCAAGGACTGCGCTCATGTTGAGATTGACTCAAAGATCAGCAGCAATGGTAAGCTATGTAGAAGTTTATTAATTTAAGACTGCAGAAACTTTGATATTTGACAATGTCTCTTCAGCTAATACACTTGCCCCTTTTTGGTATCATTCACACGCAATTTGAATATAAACATGAGGACTAAATAGCATTTAAAGGATTCTCATAGATTTATTTTGTAGAATTTGTAATTTTGAAAATACGTTTTCATTTGCTGTGAACAAGATGGTTGAACCATATAAAAGGTGAGGAAGAATTATAGTATTGATATTTTTGAAATAATGTATTCATAATGCTCGTGAAACAGTAGTTTACTATCTACATATACAGGGTGTTTCAGTTTATTGTTGCATAACTTTAGGATTCGATAGAACTTTTAAAATTAATGCATAAAGTCTATATAAACATGGATCGAAAAATGCGTGGCTTCCGAAATACAGGGTGTTTAAATTTACTTTCTAAAATAGTTTTTTTTAAATATTTCGGACAATATTTGATGTATAACAGTGAAAACTGGTATAAAAGGGTTTTTTGGTACGACAAAACGAACCATGGGCATATAGTTTTTTTTGCAATTGTGAATGCACAAAATTTAGTTTCTTTTACCAGTTTTATAAAAATGCCATTTTTATTCTCCAATCAAGTGTTAGCGGATATTCATTTTGTGTATGGCTTTGTAAATGGAAACGCAGCAGAAGCAGCCAGAGAATAGGCACGAAGATTTCCAAACAGACGACATCCAACTCGCTCAGTATTTGCAAGAGTGCATCGCCAAATAATTGAAAATGGTTTTGGAAATCTCCAAAGGGATCAAAACATAAATGTTCACCAGCGCAGATTTACCCGTATGATTCTGCGTGAGTTTGATAGAGATCCGACCACAAGTGTTAGGAGAGTACCATTTGCAACCTGTGCAAGGACTACAGCCAGGGGACGGAGAACGAAGAATCACATTTTGTCAGTGGATTCTTGATAGAAATGATAATAATAGGGAGTTTTTAAGTAACGTTTTATGGACCGATGAGTCATGCTTCACTAGACGTGGAGTGGTAAATTTTCATAATCAACATATTTGGTCGCATGAAAATCCGCATACAGTTCGCGAAAGAAATTTTCAGCATGTATTTAGTGTGAACGTGTGGATTGGTATCTACGGTAATCGACTATTTGGACCCTACCTTTTGCCTGCAAGGTTAAATGCTGCGACCTTCTTGGAATTTTTAAAGGCTGAACATGAATATATGTGGGATGATGTTATGTTAGATTTAAGAAGATTGGCCTGGTTCCAGCTTGATGGTTGTCCAGCTCATTATTCGAGAATAGTTAGAAACTGGCTGGACGAAAATTATCCAGAAAGATGGATCGGCCGTGGAGGACCAGTCGCCTGGCCTCCACGATCCCCTGACCTAAATCCATTAGATTTCTTTGTGGGGGGATTTCTAAAAGAAAAAGTGTACCAGACTCCCGTAACCACAAGAGATATGCTAATAGACAGAATCAGGAATGCATGTGATGAAATAAGGCCTTATTTGAATAATGCTATACCACGTTCGATCATTCGTAGATGTGAATTGTGTATTGAACAATTGGGTTTACATTTCGAGCAACTATTTTAGATTTTGTATGTTTGTCCTAACTATCCAATAGCATTTTAGTTGTAAATAATTAATTTAATTTGTTAAAAATAATATTGGAAAATTAAACAAATTAATATTCTGTTTGTTTGTGCTTATTTGGAGTTAGGAATTATTGCTGTGTTTAAAAACACAATCTAAACGATCATCTCAATTACTTGTAATGCCCAAATCAAAAATGTAAAAAAAATATTATTTTCCCATAAATAATTAAAAATGCATCGAACCTTAAAAATCGAAATATCTCAAAAACGGCTAACTATAACGAAAACTCATAGGAGAGCTTTTTTATGCAGAAAAGTGCGAAGAATCAGTTTTTTTATTCAAAAAGCAAAAAATTGCACTAAGAAAAATTTTTCGGTGATTTTAATACACTGCAGGTACAGTAGAGAGCGCCCTCTAGCGGCTACAGTAAAACTATGCCCATGGTTCGTTTTGTCGTACCAAAAAACCTTTGTATATCAATTTCCACTGTTATACATCAAATATTGTTCGAAATATTTAAAAACAAAAACTATTTTAAAAAGTAAATTTAAACACCCTGTATTTCGGAAGCCACGCATTTTTCGACCCATGTTTATATAGACTTTATGCATTCATTTTAAGAGTTTTTAATGAGTTAGTTTGTTTAACACGATTTTATGGTACTTTTACCTAGATGTCGAAAACTACAACCACGTGCTGGAGATCAACCTAGATCTTCGCAAACTAGGCATGAGCCACCAGTTCGGCTTAAAATCCGTAACAAACAGGAAGAAGTACGTTCTGGATCACACTGTGGATGCCCACTTCCAAGGACCCGAGAAGAGCAACTACCAATACAGCCTGTACATCCACCCTGGAGAAGCTGGTGCTTCTCTAACTACGCCCAAGAGGATCATCGCTCTGGAAACCAAGGCTAACGTAGCCAAGAACTACAAGGAAGGTGGAAAGATACACGGAGAGATTACATTCTACTTGGACAAGAAGAACCATCCTCAAAAGAAGACCTCATGGAACGGTTGGTTGTCTGTTGACATTGCCAAGCAGACCATTAATGGAGAGACCAAGATGGAACATCCTGGATTACAAAGAGTGAGTGTGGATTCTTTATTTTTACTTCCTATGCAATATTATAATCGCGAAAAATTTCAAAATGTTTTTTGGATGTTATACAGTGTGGCGCATCGAAAACGAAACATACGCATTTACTGGCAGGTCAGTTTTTTTTTTTGGAAAAACGCTCAGACCCGTCGATTTTGTTTTCGAGGGGGACACAAGTTTGGCAAAAAATCACGTTAACATGTGCAGCCCCCTGGGCGGGGGTGCCACCAAAACCCTAAAATCTTAAATGGAAGTGATACCTTATTTTAAAGGTCTTTCGATTCCCTTTATAATGATGTAAAATACATGAGCTTCAGTTCAGTAGTTTTGAAGATTTATTGATTTAAAGCTTAAAGTAGACTTTAATAGGTACATCAGATTAGTTTCTACTACTTTCAGAAGAAATTTGACTAAAAGAATTTACTTAATCAGTAAATGCTTTTCTTCACTACGCCTTGGTTTGTTTATCATTTTGTTGTTGCAAATAACTATTGGAGCGTTTTTTTGTGGCAAAAAAGTTATTTCTTGAAGAAAGATAAGGAAATATCTCGTACTTATTTTAAATAGGAATTTAGTACATAGTTTGCGATTGATTTGACCAAACTTTGTTGCTAAAATAACTTGTAACGCTTTATTACATAAATTAACCATGGTATATTCCACAGCAGAAAGAGTTGAAATTATCGAAATATTTTTCGGAAATAATCAGTGCTCTAATTGAACAGCAGAAATATTTAATGAGCGGCATGAGAACAGTAACGTTCATCGAAAATATGTTCTAGAACTTGTAGCTGAATTTCGGGAAACTAAGTCAGTCGCCAATAAAAAACGCAACACTGAAAATCCCATAAGTTTATGTAGATCCTACGTTAAGTACCCGCAAATTGGAGACTGTGTGTGGTGTTAGTCGACGTACTGTCCAACGGATTCTAAAGGCCCATAGTTTTCATCCGTATAAAATTCACCTGGTACAAGAACTTAATGAAGACGAAACTTGTGTCCCCCTCGAAAACAAAATCGACGGGTCTGAGCGATTTTCAAAAAAAAACTGAGCTGCCAGTAAATCCGCCTGCTTCGTTTTCGATGCGCCACCCTGTATATGACATATAACCGCCAGAGCTTGAGAAGCACCGCTCGAATTTTGATAGAATTTTCACACAAGGTGACTTCTACGCCCAGGATGAAAAAGCTGGAAGCAAAAACACAAAAAATAAAAATCGCTTAAACTTCGTTTCTTGACGTCTCCGAGGCTCCTGATGATTTTCGGAAGAAACCTTATAGGAGTTGAAACTTAAGGGTTTGTGATTGTAAGATGCAGGAGGGGTTGTAAATGTACACTCCTTTAATATTGTCAATGCCGTTCTATCCTTAAGAAGCTTCTGATCCCGGTAACAACGGAAAATGATAACAGTCCAATGTTCAATGTGGCAAATCGGCGCTGAGTGCATATAGTGATAAACGTCGTCGTGGAAACCATTGCCAGCTGTGCAATGGGTAACAAACTCCAACCGGTCTGCGGTGATGTCGTCACTAACACACCGCTACAGGAGAAATATTTATATATTTTAGCAATATTTGGATATTCCACTTTAGCACTCTGCGAGGCTGTTGTAAATGATGACTCAACTACTTTTACTTAACAGGGTCTTGCTTTTGATTGAAACAAGGTCATCGATATTTTTCTCTGTAATGAAAAAACGAAGAATCTGAACATACTGGTTTCGTCTGTCTGACCAGAGACAATCAACCATGGAAAGATGTTTTGTGCTTTTAAGCAACTCATCAGCATCTCCTAGGCTTTGCCTCAGGTCAGGTTCGTGAGATGACATCGAAGCAGTTAATGAAGCAACACATTTATCTCGCCGCTTTTTTCTTCGGTCTTCCTAAGACGCGCATTTTCTTCTTTTATCGCTAGTTTTTTGTCCACCCCAGCTAAATGACCTGGTCGACCTGGCTCTCTCTGCCGCTGCAAAAAGATCCTATCTTTATTTATTTTTATCACTTGAAGGGCATAGGCATGCGCAAAATCAAACAGATCGTCCAAATTCGTCGACTTTAAGGAGTAAACTTTGAAAAAGAAAATTTGGGAAATAATGGTCTTATGATAATAAATATCAGTTCTCATATTTTCTTAAGCTTAAAGTCAATCTACAACATGAATTTTGAATTTTTTGTAGACGTTCAGCTGAGACTGAATCTAGAAATGATATTAAAGATTTACATAAAGTTATTTTGGATCTAAAATCAAGTATTTCTTTTTTCAAGTACAACTTTTGATTACATTATTTACATGAGAAATAAATTTGACCTTTTCATCTATAAACAAAGCTAAGTTTTTAACTGATTCCTCTATCTGAATAGCATATCGTAGTTGTTTAAAGCAATGCTCAAATTATTTTTAAGTATATACTAAGTGACATATAAATCCGAACACCCAGTTTAAATGGTTTTATTTTAATAAAAGTTGGTGAATGTATTTATCTTACTGTAAATAACAAGTGAAAAAATTTTCAGCCTTATCAGTTGGACATTCCGGTTTGTATACTGCTTTTTTTTAATTCACTAACGCTCTAAAAATGAATATTTCAACGTTGGCGGATTTTGGTTCTTGACATCCTTTACGATCGGTTACGATGCCTAGAGTACGGAGACCTGTACGATTTCGTCAACTTAGTGAGTTTGATAGGGGCCGTATAGTGGGACTTCGGGAAGCTGGACTTTCCTTTCGGGCAATTGCAGTTAGAGTGCAAAGAAGTGTAGACACTGTGGTTAGGTGTTGTCAGGCATGGCTTCGAGAAGGCCGTACGCAAAGAGCAAGGGGCACTGGACGCCGCCGTAGAACAACAGACCGTGAAGATCACCGCCTAAGATTATTGGCCTTAAGGGACCGTTTCTCCACTACCAGGTCCATTGCAAATGAATGGTTTGCAGAATACGGAAGACCCATTGGCATGCGAAGTGTTTACCGACGAATGAGAAGTTTTGGCTTGTTTTCATACCGGCCACACTGGGTCCTCCCTTTAACTCGAGAACACCGACGTAATCGCCTTGAGTGGTGCAGACAACGGTCACTCTGGGATCAGGAATGGAACAGTATTGTCTTTAGTGACGAGTCTCGATTTTGTTTAGGCATGCACGATGGTCAGGGTCAGAAGGCGACGTGGTGAAAGGAGGAATCCACATTTTTTTGTTGAAAGACATGTTCATCACACTGTTGGAGTTATGGTTTGGGGTGCTATAGCTTATGGTTCCAGGTCACCTTTAATCTTCATCAGAGGTAACATGAACGCGCAGCGTTATATCCACGAAGTTCTAGAACCCCATCTTTTACCCTATCTTGACACCCTGGCAGATCCAACTTTCCAACAAGATAATGCCCGACCACATGTTGCAAGAGTCACAATAGACTTCTTTCAACATAATGATGTCACATTGTTACCATGGCCACCAAGATCTCCCGACTTATCCCCAATTGAGCACGTGTGGGAAATGATGGGTAGGAGATCGCTCAATTTGCAACGTCCTCCTCAGACTCTAGAAGCACTTCGAGAGGAGTTGGTGGTTGCCTGGAATGAGATACCACAGGAGGGCATTGACCACCTGATCAGAAGCATGCCTAGGCGCGTTGGAGAATGCGTAGCACATCAGGGTGCATCCACATATTATTAAAGATCAAAGGGCTTTAAAGCAGTGCAATCATTTTGAAATTTTTATCATTTACTTATTATTTATTATGGTCCATTAAGTACTTATACAAAATTTTATTAAAATAAAACCATTTAAACTGGGTGTTCGGATTTATATGTCACTTAGTATATTAATTTGTGTTAGCAGCTCATTTGCAACGAAGCAATGATTATACCCCCTTGTTGCTTTGCAGCCACTTTCTTCATCGATCAAGACAACCCGCACCGGAACAGCGACCAAAGGAGAGGTAGTGATCGTAGCTGAATTCGACATTTTCGCTCAACCGGCCCAGAAACTCGTTACCACTTACAAACACTCCATCGACACCGGAGCGGAAGTTAAGAGCGCAACTTTCAAACGTTCCTTGGACGTAAAGAGCAGCGGACTTGGAGTTGACATTCATTCCAGTGAAATGTCGCACTTTGACAGGCAGAATTATGCTGGTGAATATATTGCTAAGGTAAGTTGAAACTGGCTCATTTTGAATGTTTGCTTATCTAAGTCGCCACAGAGCAAATGAGATAACAAAGTCAAACCTCAATAACCTTTTCAAAATTTCTAAAATCCTCATTTTTACCGTAACTGACTGGCTATAAAAGTCCAAATTATTTGGAGAATGCAAAGTGTTAAGAAGCCATGAAATTCACCAATCAACATCCATACCACATACAGCGTGTTCAACCTCTCCTGCCCCGGGATTATGAGCCCCGAGTTGCTTTTTGTCGCACAATGTTAGAAAGACACAGGAAAGATCCACAGTTCTTTGAAAAATTTTTATGGTCAGATGAGACCACATTTAAGAAAGATGGGTACATAACCTGCATAACTTACACGAGTGGCACGTAGCAAACCCACATTTGATGAGAGAAGATAAATCTCAATATCGCTTCAAGATAAACCATTGGACAGGAATTTTAAATGGTAAAATAATCGGTCCGTTTGAGTTCCCAGAGACTTTGACTGCTGAAGTTTATTTGGATTTTTTGAAAAATCATGTACAAAATTTATTGGTGGACGTGCCACTGAGTATTTACAGGGACATGTGGTTTCAGCATGATGGCTGCCCAGCGCACTATGCACTCTCAGTGAGAGAGTATCTCGATCAAAATTTTCCAGGCAGATGGATAAGGCGGTCTGGTACAATACCGTGGCCAGCCCGATCACCTGATTTGAATCCTTTAGATTTTTTTACTGGGGAACTGTAAAAGAAAAAGTGTATTTCAAGCCGATTCAAAATCTAGCTGAGCTACGGCAAAGACTATTGGAAGCAGCTGAGTTTGTTAATAACCGTGGATTCGCTCGTTTAATAACCCGATCTTTTTTAAGATGTCGAGCGTGTATTGCGGCTGAAGGAAAACAGTTTGAGCATTTGCTGTAAAGGTAAATCATCATCATCCATCAGTTATCCTTAAGGGTCCTTGTGCGTTTTCATAATCGCTATTTAATTAGGAAATTTTGAAAAATTTTCATCAGTTTTTTTTCAAATAAAAATTGTGCATAAGTTAACGAGTAATTTTCTAAGTGTTATACCATTTTGGAATCGTTATTAAATGCGCCAACTTTTAAGGTTACTTGCCAAACTGTCATAGTACATTTTTTCCAGTACAGCCAGTTAAAGTTGAGCAAAGTTTTACTTTGGAATACTTGGTTGGGAAATAAGTGGCAATTTTTCCTGAACGAGAAAAGTTGGCAGTAAGGTTGAGACACCAGTTATTCATCATTACATTGTAAAAATAAAATCCAAAAAAAGTTAATATTTGTAGTAACAGGAGTTGACAGACTGCCGTAGGGTGTGAAATTTCTATATCTTTTTCAAAGACATATATACACAAAAACACATACATAAAATTTTTTTAAATATTTTTCTGATAGCTGTTATGACTTTGCCTATCACCCGGTTTCGGCTTGACGTCGACTTCTGGGACACCCTGTATAATCATTAACCATTTTACCTTGCGGTGTTGGGTGTACATTCTTGAACTTAACTAGTCTTAATAGTCTTGAACTACACCTGATATACAAACTTCCTCCATTGTTTCTTATCCTTAGCTGTCCTTCTAGCTTGCTCCTGCGTGGCTCCTCTTCTTTGCAGGATGTCGTTTAATTCATTGTCCCACGTTTTCATTGGTCTCCCCTTTGGTCTTCTGTATCTTCTCCTTGCTTCCCATACTTGCTGCACTGATCGGTCATGGTTCATTCTGAGCATGTGTCCAAACCAACTCGGCTGGGCCTCTTCTATTTTCTTGAGGATTGGCTGTACTTGTAGTCGTTCTCGTACTACTTCATTCCGTATCCTGTTCATCCTAGTTATACCCATTACCCTTCTTAAGTACTTCATCTCCATGCTTTGTAGTTTGCTCTTTAGTCTGGTGGTTAGAGTCCAGCTCACACTTCCGAATGTTTACTGTTTTGTAGATACTTATTTTGGCTTCTTGTGATAATTATCTTTTGGATAGGAACTTGTTCTTAATTGCGTGATGTATTCTGGCGGCATTTGCTATTCGTGCGTTTATTTCTACTTCTTGGGAACCCTTGCTCTATATTTGGACTCCTAGGTCTTTAAATGATTCTACTTGTTCCCATTACCTCATTGTTCACTTTTATGTTTATGCGTTTCTCGGTGTTCCCGCATATCATGACTTTGGATTTGTTTACGTTGTTCTTTAAGTTACGTTGTTGGAGTTTGTCCCTCCATATTTGTATGTTTTTCCTAAATTGCTCTTCGTCTCTCCGGAATACAACTAAGTCATCTGCAAAAGCGCACTCTGCTGTCAGTATTGCCTCCAGGTTTCTATGGCCAACATATATTTTCGAAGCTTCTGTTCTGGTTTCTTTCATTATGTCGTCTAGTACTACCAAACCCCCTTGTCGTAGACCTTCATTGACTTTGAACTCTTCGGATTCCATGTTGTCCGTTCTTACCCTGTTTCTTGTGTTGCAGTGCATGCTCATGATTGCTTTTCTTGGTCTTGTCTCTACACCTCTCATCTTTAAGCTTTTGTTTCTGACCGTGGCGTTCTGTCGAATGTTTTTTCTAGATCTAGGAATGCTTGGTACAGTTCTGTTCTTGTATTTCTTACTTTCTGTATGAGCTGCTTAAGGGTGAAGATCAGGTCATCCACTGCATCAAATCGTTTAAAATGAACACAAAGATATATCCTAGATATGACATTGTCTCTGTTATGTTTTCTTCAGTGCAATCATCTCCAGTATTTATATTTATTTACTCATGTTGTTTATTTTTTTTCCACCTTGAGTGAATAAGTATTATTATTATTAGAAGACACCTTTCAATTTTGAAGAGGGACTGTTTCGCCTCCTCTTCAGATCGCTTCACGTCACTAGCATCGACCATAAAGTTTCTTATTCTTCAGTCTCCACGAATGTAGCTCTTTGCTGTTCGATGAATAATTTTTCCAAAGCCTACAATTGACACCGTTACTGTTCGTACGATTGCCTATTACAAAGCCACGTTTTCTGAAAAATATATTTACTCTACAGGTTAAGTACCATGTGGGTAACTCCAAATACGACAACGTGCTCTCCGTCAACGGTGGAAAGTCGCAGTTGAACGTGCTGGTGAAACTACTCAACATTGAATTGTTGAAGGCCACAAACAAAATGAGTTTGAGCAAAGAGGAACAAACGCTCGACTCCGAAATCTCTTCGTATTCCAATAACCCGCTGATCAGCCATTTGGAGATTAAGAATTTCAACACTCTGTTGTACACTGTTGGATTCAAGGGTGAGTAGTGTGAAATAAGACGTGACAAATGGGGCCAATCAGATTTATTCAGCGCTTCTTTCGGTTATATAAATATATATATATATATATATATATATATAGGTATACTAAGTGACATATAAATCCGAACACCCAGTTTAAATGGTTTTATTTTAATAAAATTTTGTATAAGTACTTAATGAAGCATAATAAGTAAATGATAAAAATTTCAAAATGATTGCACTGCTTTAAAGCCCTTTGACCTTTAATAATGTGTAGATGCACCCTTATGTGCTACGCATTCTCCAACGCGCCTAGGCATGCTTCTGATCAGGTGGTCAATGTCCTCCTGTGGTATCTCATTCCAGGCAACCACCAACTCCTCTCGAAGTGCTTCTAGAGTCTGAGGAGGACGTTGCAAATTGAGCAATCTCCTACCCATCATATTCCACACGTGCTCAATTGGGGATAAGTCGGGAGATCTTGGTGGCCATGGTAACAATGTGACATCATTATGTTGAAAGAAGTCTATTGTGACTCTTGGAACATGTGGTCGGGCATTATCTTGTTGGAAAGTTGGATCTGCCAGGGTGTCAAGATAGGGTAAAAGATGGGGTTCTAGAACTTCGTGGATATAACGCTGCGCGTTCATGTTACCTCTGATGAAGATTAAAGGTGACCTGGAACCATAAGCTATAGCACCCCAAACCATAACTCCAACAGTGTGATGAACATGTCTTTCATCAAAAAACTGCGGATTCCTCCTTTCACCACGTCGCCTTCTAACCCTGGCACGACCATCCTGCATGCCTAAACAAAATCGAGACTCGTCACTAAAGACAATACTGTTCCATTCCTGATCCCAGAATGACCGTAGTCTGCACCACTCAAGGCGATTACGTCGGTGTTCTCGAGTTAAAGGGAGGACCCAGTGTGGCCGGTATGAAAACAAGCCAAAACTTCTCATTCGTCGGTAAACACTTCGCATGCCAATAGGTCTTCCGTGTTCTGCAAACCATTCATTTGCAGTGGACCTGATAGTGGAGAAACGGTCCCTTAAGGCCAATAATCTTAGGCGGCGATCTTCACGGTCTGTTGTTCTACGGCGGCGTCCAGTGCCCCTTGCTCTTTGCGTACGGCCTTCTCGAAGCCATGCCTGACAACACCTAATCACAGTGTCTACATTTCTTTGCACTCTAACTGCAATTGCCCGAAAAGAAAGTCCAGCTTCCCGAAGTCCCACTATACGGCCCCTATCAAACTCACTAAGTTGACGAAATCGTATAGGTCTCCGTACTCTAGGCATCGTAACCGATCGTAAAGGATGTCAAGAACCAAAATCCGCCGACGTTGATTCTTTACTGCGGCTGAAATATTCATTTTTAGAGCGTTAGTGAATTAAAAGAAAGCAATATAAAAACCGGAATGTCCAACTGATAAGGCTGAAAATTTTTTCACTTGTTATTTACAGTAAGATAAATACATTCACCAACTTTTATTAAAATTAAACCATTTAAACTGGGTGTTCGGATTTATATGTCACTCAGTATATATACAGCAGACGTTCGATAAAGTAAACTAATTTAATCCAAGTGTGGTTCACATTATCGAAATGTTTACATTAGCGAACGTGATTTATATAATATTTGATTTATTAAAAGAAACGTTTAATACATACTATTTATAACAAAATAAAAAAATATTCTAACATCGATAAGTATTTATTTAATTATTTTTATTTATTATAATTAACAATTTTTGTCTGGGTAAATTTGCGCTTAGCATTGTCTTCCAATGCCTGCGCCCGTAATTTACGAACTAAAATATCCGTGTATGAAACTTCTTTTCTTTCAGCCCAATCTAAAGCTTGGTTAAAAACTTGTATAGCTTGCGCGTCAGTCACTACACTTCTGACTTCAATGGGATCGTTCTCATCATCCTCACTGTTCATATCCTCCTTCTTATCAGCATCATTCGTCTGCTTATCTTCGTTCCATAAATTAATATCAGCAGGAGTACAAATAATGTTGGGATTCACTGTTTTCAACAACATCCAATGACACACTAATAACATCATCATTATTGGATCGCAAACGTTCTCTAATTACGCTTAAGGGGACATCGTCTTCTTCATCATCTTCATTATTGGTACAAACGAGATTGTTCCAACATTTTTGAATAGTTTGCTGGTTAAGTTCATTCCAGGCCATATGTAAATCTAAAACAGCTTCTCGTAATGTTACTTTTTTTAAAGCCTCAGATAAGTTTTCAGGATTCTTTGATAAGACAGACGAAACTAGAAACTTCCTATAGTTTGGTGAGTCTTATTATATTCTGGTCCATCGGTTGAATTAACGGTGTTAAGTTGGGCGGCATGTACATGACGAAAATTGACCCATCCCTGGTCATCAGTTGTTGCTCGGGAGGATGACTTGGTGCATTATCCAATAGTAACAACGCTTTTATTGGAAGCTTCTGTTGTTTTAGGAAACCTTTTACCTACAAATTGAAAACACATCTTCAAATTATGAATAGAGCATTTGTGATAATTGATTGTCATACGTGAGGGATAAAGCACCTGTGGAACCATTTCAGGAATATACTGCTAGTCATCCAAGCGGTTTTTGAACAGTCATAATCAACAGGGATATTAACATTTTTAAATGAGCGCGGATTTTTTGCTTTCCCAATTACCATTGGCTTTATTTTGTGTGAACCATTAGCATTAGTGCAGGCTAGAAACGTTATTCGTTGTTTCTCCGGCTGTCTTCCCGGGGCAGATTTTTCAAATGATGCAGCATTGGTTTTCTTTGGTAACATTTTTCAATAAAGGCCACTTTCATCTGCGTTGTAAATTTGTTCCATTCTTAAATCTAGCTCGGTAATTGTTTTCATCAATTTTTCTTTGAATGGTTGCACTAATTGTGGATGTGCTGATAATTTTTCACCAGATATAGACAGCAGTCGAATTCCATATCTTGTTTTGAATCGTTGTAGCCAGTCATCACTAGCTACGAAATTTTCAGTTTCTTTCAGTTTTTCATTTAACAGTCTCGCTCTCTGTTTAAGTACTTCGCCACTAACTGGGACATGATTTTCCCGTTGTTTTAAAAACCACTTATACAGGGAACTTTCCATTTTAGGTGCCTTCGCATTTTTTAAAGTTTTTCTTTTTCCCGTACCTCCAAATGTATTGCACGTTCTTTGTAAAATTTGAGTTTTCATACGCTTAATTTTACAGATTGTTGCTTTCGATACTCCATATTTTTTTGCTAACTGTGTCACTCCCGCACCTAGTGCAACTTCGTCTATGATTTTTACTTTCTCACTCAACTTTAAACACTTTCTTTATAGGATGTGGATGCCATAGTCGTAAAATATATTAACGCGTGCAATGTATTCACTTAAGTTCAAAAATTAAATACATACGTACGTATAAACGTATCCTAAACGATCATACGACTGACCGAGTTTGTCGTATTTTATCGCAGAGGTGAATCCCCTATACTCTTCATCATAAATCGGGGACTCCCCGACGCCCGACATAAATCATCGAGGCTTCAGCATTTTACCGTCGCGCTGTTTCCGTGCGCCGAGAGTTGTTTACGTTATCGAGCGTACACATTGTTTACGTTATCGCGAGTTCCGTTTGATCCTATAGAACGAAGTTTGTGTTTACATTAGCGCAAGTTTTCATTATCCCGTGTTTACGTTATCGAGCGTCTGCTGTATATATGAATCTATTTAAGGTACGGCTATAACCATTTTGTATAAGCTTTTAGAAACGAACGATATATAAAAAAGTGGCAGGGTCTGGTATATAATTTTTCAGACAATATCTATTTTATTGTATAAAAGTTCTAACGATATAGTTGTTTCTTTAACGGGACGCTCTGTACATTTTTAGTCAAGATTTTAGTCGCTTTTCTCTAATTCTAAATATACAGAGTGTTTCAAATTCGATCCTTACCATTTCCGGAAAGAGACTGAAAAAACAGAATTTTATCAAAATAGTTTTAATTTTTTCCTCGATTTAATTGTAGTGGGATTTCGAAGTAAATTGCACATCAACATTGCTACTTTTTCTCCTCTATAATATGGCATAATTAGAATTCCAATATAACGTTTCGTAGCTGGTCCTCCAGCATCAACTTTATTTTTCTCTGAACGCCATATTGGATTTTTGCGCAGATAAATAGAGTTTTGAATTTTGATTTCAAAAATGTATAATAATAATAATAATCTTTATTGGAGTATCAATACATAATAGAACCAAAATACGAGCAAATAATATAACACCAAAAAAAAATAGTACTCCAAAGGGCTGGAAATTGGCATTTTTCACCCCCTGAATAGCTAAGGTAAATTAATTAAGTGCATTACTATATCTTACAAGGGCATATTATATACATTACATAAAGGACATGTAGCTGACTATAATAATACAAACAAAAAATATAATGATATTAATAATGAGATTTATTCAATCACCTGTACAGTATATTCAGATAAGAGATAGACCGGACATAAACAAGACCACGTGATCATCGAACGCTGTAACATTCGGCAGGGACGTATTAAGAGTCACACAGTACATATTTTAGATAGTAGATGCTGCTTTGCGTAACTTTGTAGTAAATTAGCACAATTCGATGTGTATATGATTGGTGATGGATATAGGATCATGTGGGGGTGGGGTAAGAAATATATAATGATGTAAATATACATAAGGGTTTCAAAATTTTCGCTTCGATTTCCAGCTTCGGATGCCGTCTGATGTTTGGTGAAATACAGTCGAATATAATCTCAAAATGGCGTTTAAATTAGCCTAAATTAAAAATAATCGTATATCTCTTAAAATTGCTTTTAGAATATTGATTAGTATATTTTTTGATTTCTAGGTAAATATGTAACCAAATTAAAACGTTCAAAACGTAAAAAATGTGCATGGCTGAACATTGTCAGAAAGTAGATTCTTGAATAGGTTTTGCCAAAATGGGTTCAAAAATGTCAATAATTAATTAAAAAATACAGTAGCTTTATAATTACTTATAACTTACCGAATTTGATGAACGACATCTTTTATTGGAAAGATGAGCTTGATGAGCTTTCATCATCGCTACTGCCTGAAGCACCAACGTCAATAATGAATGGCTCGACTTGTTCCTCTAAAATATTGTCCAGTTCCCACATTCTCTTTTCAACTTTGCCTTTCACGTGCTTAATACAGTTTTCCCATTTTTGCGCTGTTATTAATTCTAGTGCTTCTTTGAAAAGTCCTTTGAGGTCACAAAATTTAAAAGTTGTATTGTGTTTAGCTATATAATTTTTAACCTCTGCCCATATGAGCTCAATGGGATTGAGCTCGCAATGGTATGGAGGCAAACGGAGCACAGTTTTATTTTGACTTGCTGCCATTTCGTCAATGGCGTATTTTTGATATTCCGCCTTGTGATCCTTGACAATTCTTAATAATTGTACTTTCAGCATTGCTTCTTCAAAGTTGATATTTTTCGAGCGGAGCCAATTTTGAACATCAACTTTCCTTGAAGCCGTTGTTGGGACCTTCTCCATTCTTCGAGAATGATAAGGCGCATTATCCAACACAATTACTGCGTTTTCCTCTAAGTTCGGTAAAATTTTTGAAAACCACTGTTCAAACGATTCGCCATTCATTTCCTCGTGGTAATCTCCAGTTTTCTTAGACTCAAAGCACCACAGACCGTCAACAACAAATCCATCCTCACTGCCAATATGGCAGATATTGAGCCTTTTCCCTTTACCTGGAAATCGAAGTACTAACTGGTGTAGATTTATTTCAATAAGCGAACCTTTTTCAAATGTTTTCATCACATTCAGCGAAAAAACATTGAGACATGAGTATCAGATTGCTATAATTGGGATTATTTAGTCATATTGAAAGAAAGAATATTGAACGTCATATGATTACTCAGCGCTTCACAATTTAATTTAAAGTTATAAACCTCTAAAAAATGAATGATCAGGAACCTGAAATACGCGCAAATATTAATATTAACAAATTATAACTTTATAAAGCTTAAAGTATGAATTAAAATGATTAGAAATATTAGGAACGGTACACAATATAAAACTTAGTAACTTTTTTTAAGTTTATAATATTCGACATATTTTAAGATTATATTAAAAAATTATTAAAATATCGAAAACACATAAAAACATGGCTTAAAAAAGTTCTAACAAATGAAAATGACAATAAAACATCCACGCATTTTATCGAAAGTTATAAAAGTTTTGTTACTTGTAATATCTTTTATCTGCCCCCTGGAATTAATATTTAGAACCTTGTTCCCAAGGTTTGAAAAACATCCGATTGTTGTCTATTACTCGTATTTACCTGCTGGATTTTTTAATCCGGTGGACAGTCCATCTAGAAAGGCCCTCCTGGATGAAGTTACAGAATCATCAACCCATACTTTACTTGTAGTGTGTCCTGCGTTTACCCATGTTTCATCAAGGTAATAAACCTTCCTGTTTTGATTTCTATATTTCCCAATTTTTGTTAAATAATCCCTCCTCCATAGCACAATTTCTTCTCTATCCAGTAGTAAACTATTACGACCCCGTTTTTTCCATTTGAAAATTAAATGCTTCAGTAACGCATGGAAAGTTGATCGTTTGAAATTTGGCGACGTTGTATCTCCATTTACCTCCTGCAGTACTTTATCTATAGTAGGTATTTCATTCCTAAAGAAGAATTCGTGCACTTTCCTCCTAATCGCATGCTTATCAGCTTCATCCAATGATTTAACAATACTTTTGCGATGTTTACTGGTCATTGGCTCAGAAAAGGTGTGATTTTTTTTGTATTGTCTTAACACATTAAACACTGATGCGCGACATACCCCAACTTTGTGAGAAACCTTCACAACAATTTCTTTAATGGTTGATGCCTCGTTCTCCTCGCGCTCGATCTTATATATATTCAAAATGACCTCTTTCATTTCTGCACTCAGGTGTCTTTTTTTAGAGCGTTTCCTAGGTGGACTACAGGAGTTTACAACTTCATCGACAGTATCTGTACTACTGGGCATTTTGCGCAAGCAGTTGATAACTATAACAATCAATAACAAGGTATAACAATAACAACGACAAACTCAACAACTTAATAAGATAACAAACGAAAACGTCCAAAGAAATATCAAATTGCAATGATGCACACGACATACGTAACACGTCTGAACCTGAATGTGACTCTGCCTTGATACGACTGCTCTGCCGCTCGGCATAGGCATTTAATTGCGAATTGACCAATGAGGGCTCCTGTTTTACGTCCAGACGGCGGCGTTAGCGTGAAAATCACCCGAACCTTTTGTTTACATCCCGTCTATCTCTTATCTGAATATACTGTAGATTCATTAAATTGTAACTGTAATAGCATTATTTTGAATTCTCCTTTGAAGCTGTAAATGGACGTTAATTTAAGCTAAGTAATAGAAATTTTGAGGTAGTGTGGCCCGGTATATTATAACAATATTTATTACGGAGGAACAGTTGATGGATATTTCGGAGATTTATATTTTAAAAGCCTAAATAGTAGAACAGCATAGAGAAGTAACGAGCGATATTTGAACTTTAAAAGATTTTTCCTTACATAATGCCCAGTAATGTGTTCGCGTCTGTTCATCTCATTGAAACAAAACCTCATACAATGGTTTTGTAAAACTTGAATTTTCTGTTGCATTTCCTTAGTGATAAAGGGTAATATACAGTACTACGAGCGATGTCTTTCAAGTTTTGCATATTGAAATAAAACAACATGGTAGGTAGTTTTAAATGACTTTATTGCTTTCCTGAATGGTGCACCCACCCTGCGATCTTCGCTAAGACTCACCCGTCCACATTTGCATTCTCCATACCAACGAGAAATTGTCGACTGATGTGGCGCTTCGTTGCCGAAAACAGACAGTAACTCAGCACGCCATTCTTGTTGCGATAATTGTCTATGAAAGTTGTAATAAATTATGGCGCGAAAATGTTCTCGGTTGAGTACCATTTTTCTAATGACTTGGTAACACTTAAAAACTCACTGTAGTGAGAACATTGCACGTATTGTTGTGAAACTTTGAATTTAAGTTTACTAAAGAGTGAGGTTAAGATTCAGTACTGACGTTCGATCCGCGCGGCCTACTATGTTTCTATATGCAAAACTTAACAGACATCCCTCGTAATGACATGACATAGTGTACTTGTTATGTATTTATTTGTCTTACGATTTGAAACAAATACTTTTACCGTCTTTGGTATTTAGCGTAATACGAAAAATATGTTGCTCAAAAAATATTTCAAGGTCCAAGAGTACCTAACAAATCGTTGGGGATTTTTTTGAAAAGTTCTGAATTTATGGGTTTCTACATTCGACTGTGGAAACCAAACATTAACATACTATTTTAAAATAGTTTAAAACAAAACATTATTGTGATAGTGATGCCTCCTGTAAGAAGTGGTTTGTGGAGTTATTTTGCAAAATCGAGTTTAGGTGGGAGATGTAAGTTGTAAAGCTTTTGACCTATTTTTATTAGCGAACGTATTGCAGTTGAAAAAGTAAACATAATTTTTTGGGTTGTAGAAAAAACAACTTCGATTTTACTTGTGATATCTAAATGTTTATTAGGATACTTCTTAAAACGATCACAGTAGGCACTTTTAGTGGTTAGGAACATCCCTACCAAACTCTCTGATCATGGAGGTGGAAACCTTACCTTGGAATGTACGAGATGCAATGTTGCCAAGCAAAACAATGATGCAATGTTTCAGAGTTTGTGGCGATCCTGACCTTTCATTTCGACCTAAAATGAAGCGTTGTCAGCACCGATCCGGAATCGATCCTAAACAGATTGACACAATTCACAAATCAAGATTGCCGCGTCAGCATTGCTAGGCAACGCGATGATGAGCTTCGCTATCCAGCCGCCTTTTAACTCTTTCTGAAACGTGTGTCTATTCACACTTCTCTCGCGGACACATTGAACTCAAGTTATCAGACAAATTCGGGCAAAAAAAAGTTTGTTATCATCGCACGGTAGCGCTCGCCATTCACAGTTACGTTCCGGCCATTGTCGCCTTTGAAGAAGTACGGCCCGATGATGCCACCGGCCCATAATCCACACCAAACAGTGATTTTTTCGGGATGCATTGGTAGCTCTTGCAATGCTTCTGTCTGGTCTTCACTCCAGATGCGGCAATTTTGCTTACGTACCCATTCAACCAGAAATTAGCTTCGTCGCTGAACACAATTTTTCGATAAAAATGTGGATCTTCCTCCAACTTTGCCACCGTCCATTCACCAAATGGGAGGTCATGTGGCTTCAATTCTTGCACCAGCTGTATCTTATAAGGTTTTACACCCAAATCCTGTCGCAAAATTTTCCACGTAGTGGAGTAACAGAGGCCCAATTGCTGCGAACGGCGGCGAATCGACATTTCACGGTCATCACTAACACTGTCGGATACAGCCGCAATATTTTCTTCAGTCCTCACTCTACGACAGCATATTGGTGGTTTAATGTCCAATAATGTAAACTGGGTTCGAAATTTAGTCACAAGCTTCAGAATAGCTCCTTCAGTAAGCCGACCGAATTGCCCATAAATTGGAAGCAGTGCTCGATGCACTCTCTTAACCGAGCATGAATTTTGATAGTAAAATTCAATAATTTGCAAGCGTTGTTCGTTCGTAAGTCGATTCATGGTTAAATTATAGACCAAACTGAACAAGTTTGACAATGACACAAGACACGATTCACGCGTGTTGCCAAAAAGATACTAGCAAAAAAATCACCCATTATAACTTTCGTTCCGATCACAAACGGCTAACTATCGACAGCTATTTCGTGCTGATTGGCAACTCGTCAGCATGATTTAGGCAAAAGCCGAGCAAGTATCCTCCCACCAGGATAGAAGGTCTATCGAAAGAACCATCTGTTACCAGAATCGACCACTAATATGTTTTTCTTTCTTCAGGAACGCCACGCGACAAGCTCCAGCTGAACGCCGGCTTGATCCCTGGTCAAATCGCTGACGTCAGAGCCGACCATTCCACTGGTAGCGGAAAGACGAACCTCTTCCACGCTACTCTGAAACTGGACGATGCCAACTTCCTCAAACCCGACTACAACCTCAACTCTAAGGAGATCCAGAAGGTGCTCAACATCCTCAAAGAGAAAATCATCGCTTTTGTCAACGGACTTCAAGACATCGGTGAGAAGTCGACGAACGACATTCGTAAGGAGGTTAGCCAGATTGCTGATATCACGAAGAAGGCTGTGCCCAATCTGAAGCCTATCAAGGAGTACTACGCCACTGAGATCAAGGAGATCAAGCAGGAGATTCTGGAAGATCCGTCTGTTAAGGAGCTTGCTGACGCTGTCAGAAAGGTAGGAAAAAGGGAAATGTGAAATCACTTTTCAAGTAACACTGCTTGAACCATACGGAATTTAGTTGTTTTTCTATTTTGATCACTTACCAGTAACTTGAATTTCTCTTTATTAATGATAGAGTGCCGATTCCTAGGCCAAACCCTTTTCGATGATTTTCTCTTGCCAAATTCCATAAATGATTGATCCATTAAGGCGGCTCCGACGCAGTGAGTTTCAAGCCATTGACAAGGGTTCAGCTGCTTCGAAACCGACACTCTATTTTTCAATATTTTTGAATGAAGTACATACAGTATGTTGAGAAGATAATTGCCCAGGGTGCTATAGGAGCACTTTTTGAAATTTTGTTTTTGCACAAGTTTTATGATGGGTTGAAGTGCACACTTTTTCTGTTCAACTTCGCGATTTTTTTAAAAAGAACCTAATGAAAAAAATGAAAAAGGTGGCTTTATAGCACCCTGTCACCCTGTGGGGTTTTATTTTCAGCACACTGAAAATTTCATCCAGAAATATCAAAAAACAAAGCGTCAATTTCGAAGCGCGCAAACCTCTACTAATCGTATTTTGGACGAATTTTGTCTACTGTGTCGTGCTGCGGCGCAATGTACAGACTAAGAAAGGACGTATTCAGATAATTTGGTGGCCATATTTCATACAATATCGCGTAGATAAGTCGTTTTAGCCGTTTAGCCGTTTTACTTGACGAGGAAGTATTGTAATCACGAAAAATTTCTAAAATGAGATGTTATGTTTTTTTTTTAGTCATATGACATCTGCATCACGAAAAACTGAATCACTCATCATCAACTTGGAAATTACCGCTCGGATTTTTATGAAATTTCCACACGGGGTTACTAGTATGCCAAAGCTTTGTAGTTTTAGTCCAGTGGCAACGGTGCTATAGGAAAAAAAGAAAAAGTATCAATTGCTGAAACTCCGTCTTTGACGTTTCAAGGGTTCCTAATCATTGACATAAAAAAATGGTACTGCTTAAAAGGGGGGGTCGAAATCAGTGAAACACGTTCTATTATCAAGAAACTTCTGATCCCAGTAATTACAGGAAATTTAAGGAACGAAAATCCAACGAATAATGTGCTTTGAAAAAATCGGTACCCCCTCTATAGGTTTGACACCAAGAGCTAACAGATCTGCAACTACCGACAGTAGGGAAGAATAAATTCGGATATCACTCCAGTCAAGTATAGAGGAATTTAGCGTGGACCTTTAAAATTATCGATATGTCAAGGAAATATGTTTTTGAGAATGATATTTTGGTAGGTTTTATACCTGCATTTTCATTTGAATTTCATGACCCGCGAAATGTACCCATTTCGGCGTTACCTTCAATTTGTGTTCTGCAGTTTGTGATGATTTTCTGGATATAAGCAGGACATAATTGCCTAGGGTGCTATCAGAGCTTTTTACAAAATTTTGTCTTTGCGCAAAAATTATGGTGGGTTGAAATGCTTACCATTTGTGCTCAACTTCTTGATATTTTAAAAAGATCCTAGTGGATAAAATCGAAAATGTGGACCGCTGGCACCCCGTGGACTTTGTTTTTTGCAAGAGTTTCATTTGGAAATAATAAAAATGAAACGTAGGCTGTGAAGTGCAAATCGGTATTTGGGCGAAGTTCATCTACTGTTTCGTCCTGCCAGTCCAAGCGACGCGACGGTGCGTTCCGACTAAGAAAAAATGTATTCAAATAATTTTATATCTTTCCTAAAATAAATTCGAGAATTCCAATTCTAATTCGTTTATTCATGTCAATAAATACAATTATGTTTACAAGGGTCGTGTGGTAGATGGTAACATAAATAAAAATATCTTATGCGGTCAAAATAAGAGGAAACAGGTAGTTTTTGCAAAGCAATAAACAGGTAGGCTTATGCCTGTATTAAATACATGTCTTGTCTACTGTAATAGGTAGATGGAGGTGATGCTGCCAGAAATGGATGTGTGCGATCAATAAACAAACCACAAGATTGAACTGCCGTGACCCATGATTTTTGTATTGCCTTTTTTTATTGCCTTACTAGAAAACTCTGTTGGGTATATGATGGTGTTTACTAGAACTTCACAGCTTGCTGTCCGCCTTCTTCTACAAACTTCACCAAATCGAGACGCTGTTAACCTCATCCTCCGATGAAGACGCCACAAAGTACAGTCCTGTGATTTGGTGACTTGTTCCATCTGCAAAATTTCGTCGTCACTTTTTCTAAGTTTCTCTAAAAATTCTTGCTTAGCAACCTCCAAATCAATGTCATTCATCTCAGGTTTTTGACAGAATTCGCCATAAAACTATTCATTTTCTTTGGAATTGCTATCCGAATTGTTAGTTATTTTTATATCAGATTTTTTTGCTCTGAGTTTCTTTTCAAGATTCTTGCGTTTGAGTCTTTGTTCCATCTTAGTGATATGCGAGGTTGGACACTACAGCTGCAGCACATCTTCCATGGTATGACCTATTCCTGCAATAATTTATTCGCTTACCCCAATGTATTTTGCGATTATAGAGTTGAACTGCTCCACACTATTGTTGTCCGCATCATGAATTAAACTCACTGCATTCGTAATTAAAATTGCTGTCGGTCATTTTTTCCTACCGGATCCTTGGTTGAAAAGGTATATTATCGGCCCTCCATTTGATGTCCAGATTTTGGGGTTTTGGGCCACAATCACCAGTTTACCGAGTAGCACCTTTTTTGTATCTACCTTACGTTTAGTTGTTTGTTTCGGTTTGGGTGAGAAGGATAGTGGAAAATCACCATCCTCCAGCTTTGTAGTTGTACGAGTATTGTAGCCGATTTCGATAAGAAACCGCCAATTTCACTTAAGAAAGACCGCCTAAAGGATTTTTTCTTCAGTACATGCCACTTTTTTCATAACTACAGTAAAAAAAGAATTCAAAATATTTGTGGTTTCATTGGCCATGCAAACATGGTGGATTAAGGGAAACGATTTTCGGATGAGTATTCTTGATAAATAAAATACATTTTTTGCAGGTATTTGGAGCTATCATCCACTCTCTGGCCGAGATTTCCGCCAAGGTTGGAGAACTGATCGAAGCGGTCACAAAGTCCCTACAAACCGCATTTGCTGGTGTGATTGAATCCATCGACAAGGAATTGTTGCCCGAACTGAAACGCATCACTGGAAAAGTCACCAAAGTCGCTGGGGAAATAGCAAGATCCGGTATTGATATCATCGCTTCGTGTTTGGCTACCATCAGTCAGGTATGAGTTTTTTTTATACAGAGTGATAGAGAATGTTGTTGGAAAGGACATATTCAGCATCTGAAAATATTGATGGGTTCGGGAATTTCCTTTTCCCCTTGTTAATGGAATTACATAATCGTGCTTTTTTAAATTTTATCAGTATCGAACATTTTGTTGTTGTTGTTGAAGATTTATTTAGCATTAATGCTACAATGTCAATTTTGTATAATGATTGGGTTATATATTTTTCTTCAATCCATTTTCTGTAATTTTACATTCTTGTCTTTAAAAATTAAAATTACGTCACTATGTATTTTGATTATCCATAAAGTGATTTTTTAGTTTCGCCTTAAACATTTTTAAATTCGAACTCTGTTTAATATTATTCTTCAATTTATTAATTTCAAATACTCCCTTTTTAAATATAGATTTACTAGTTATGCTACTATTACATTTTTGCAGATGAAAATCTATACTACCTCTAGTTTCATAGTTATGATAATGACTATTTAATTTTGTGAAGTTATCTAAATGTGGTGGTAATAAATGATTTTTTAATTTGAATATGAAAACGAGAACTAAATAATATATGAAATTTTTCACACCCAATCACTGCAGTTCTTCTAACATAGACTTAATCCTAGCATATTTGTTGTTATTTAAAATGATTCTCATAGCTTTATTTTGTAGAAATTTGTAATTCTGAAAATATGTTTCCATCTGCTGTAAACAAGGTGGTTGAACAATATAAAAAATGGGGAACAATTAGTGTTATACACAATTTTTTTGGAATACATACTAAGATTATGGGAAACTACAGAAGTAATTTTTCTCTTTTGATATTTTTGAAATAATGTATTCATAATGTTCGTGAAACAGTAGCTTACTATCCACATATATACCAAGATATTTAAATGACGCGACTACTTCAATTTTTTCATCATTAATCATGAGCCTAATTGTAGATATTGTCACCTAAATGTTTCCCTAATGACATACATTTTGTTTTATTAGTGTTTAATTTAAGTTTATTGATATTTAACCAATTCATAATCCTTTCGGTAACACTATTTAACAATTCTAAAGCAGAGTCCAAATTCTTATGTGCTACATATATATATATATACAGGGTGGCGCATCGAAAACGAAACAGACGCATTTACTGGTAGCTCAGTTTTTTTTTTTTGAAAAACCCTAAGACCCGTCGATTTTGTTTTTGGAGGGGGACACAAGTTTGGCAAAAAATCACGTTAACACGTGCAGCCCTCTGGGCGGGGGTGACACCAACCATAAAATCTTAAATGAACAGGGGGGGTCGAGTGATATCTTATTTTAAAGGTCTTTCAATTCGTTTTATAATGACGAACTTTTGGCACAGGAGTAATTTTGACGGGAATTCACCATGTACTAAACAATGATTCATCAATAATAATAATTTCTTTCCAATTATATCGAAACAATCATTTAGAATATTTTTTGAGAGATTCTCACTTGTATTTTTATTAGATTTCGATTTCTTTAACGTTTTCCACATCATTTTAGAATCATTTTAATTGCTATCGATCTTCTTGTCATAGTATTTTTTCTTTTCCCTCCTGAGAATTGCTACACACTGATTTCATGATTTTGTATATTGTTTCAAATCATTTTCACTTTGGGTTACTGAAAAGTTTCTGTAGTCGTTATCGTGTTTCAATTTAGACTCCTTGAATATCTGTGAAAACCAAAATTATTGATGAATAGAAGTCAAAAAACTGAAATTGGAAATATTATGTCAAGCCTTCAAAATATATGTATATAAGTAGGGACGCCAAATGGGAGTAAATTAGGCAATTCATTATGTACAGGGTGGGCCATTAAGTTTTTAAAAACACCAATCAGGATTTTGTAACTAGGATCAATATTGGCTTTGAGATACTGATAGTAATTTTTTGCTTCAAACATAAGGACTTGCCAATATCAACTCCACGAATGTACCTTAAAAAACAATTCTGTACATATTGATATCAATAATATACTAAGTGACATATAAATCCGAACACCCAGTTTAAATGGTTTTATTTTAATAAAATTTTGTATAAGTACTTAATAAAGCATAATAAGTAAATGATAAAAATTTCAAAATGATTGCACTGCTTTAAAGCCTTTTGACCTTTAACAATGTGTGGATGCACCCTGATATGCTACGGATTCTCCAACGCGCCTAGGCATACTTCTGATCAGGTGGTCAATGTCCTCCTGTCGTAACTCATTCCAGGCAACCACCAACTCCTCTCGAAGTGCTTCTAGGGTCTGAGGAGGACGTTGCAAATTGAGCAATCTCCTACCCATCATATCCCACACGTGCTCAATTGGGGATAAGTCGGGAGATCTTGGTGGCCATGGTAACAATGTGACATCATTATGTTGAAAGAAGTCTTCTGTGACTCTTGCAGGGTGTCAAGATAGGGTAAAAGATGGGGTTCTAGAACTTCGTGGATATAACGCTGCGCGTTCATGTTACCTCTGATGAAGATTAAAGGTGACCTGGAACCATAAGCTATAGCACCCCAAACCATAACTCCAACAGTGTGATGAAAATGTCTTTCAACAAAAAACTGTGGATTCCTCCTTTCACCACGTCGCCTTCTAACCCTGGCACGACCATCGTGCATGCCTAAACAAAATCGAGACTCGTCACTAAAGACAATACTGTTCCATTCCTGATCCCAGAGTGACCGTCTGCACCACTCAAGGCGATTACGTCGGTGTTCTCGAGTTAAAGGGAGGAACCAGTGTGGCCGGTATGAAAACAAACCAAAACTTCTCATTCGTCGGTAAACACTTCGCATGCCAATAGGTCTTCCGTGTTCTGCAAACCATTCATTTGCAATGGACCTGGTAGTGGAGAAACGGTCCCTTAAGGCCAATAATCTTAGGCGGCGATCTTCACGGTCTGTTGTTCTACGGCGGCGTCCAGTGCCCCTTGCTGTTTGCGTACGGCCTTCTCGAAGCCATGCCTGACAACACCTAACCACAGTGTCTACACTTCTTTGCACTCTAACTGCCATTGCCCGAAAAGAAAGTCCAGCTTCCCGAAGTCCCACTATACGGCCCCTATCAAACTCACTAAGTTGACGAAATCGTACAGGTCTCCGTACTCTAGGCATCGTAACCGATCGTAAAGGATGTCAAGAACCAAAATCCGCCAACGTTGATTCTTTACTGCGGCTGAAATATGCATTTTTAGAGCGTTAGTGAATTAAAAAAAAGCAGTATAAAAACCGGAATGTCCAACTGATAAGGCTGAACATTTTTTCACTTGTTACTTACAGTAAGATAGATACATTCGCCAACTTTTATTAAAATAAAACCATTTAAACTGGGTGTTCGGATTTATATATCACTTAGTATACATTTATGTTAATCAAAACTCATCTCAAAATATCAATCTTTTTTCGAGAAATGTCAAAGGAAGACAAGTTCATTATAGCTCTGTTTATACGAACTTCTTATCGTATTTTAATCTGCTGAACCTGCAATATAATTTTTTATGACAGCATTCTGTAACGATACTCATAAATCCATATTTTGTTCTTACGCAAACTCAATTTACATGAGCTTCAATATGTGGAAAAAGAACCAAAATACTTGCGAGATCGGTAGTATCAGTAGAAACTATAGCGACTGGGAATATAATTTTCTGTAAAAACATCAAAAATGGATTCTTCCTTATAGGTTATCGAGAAGTACCAGCCAGAGATCAAACAGATCGCAGCAACCTTTGGAGAACTTGGACAAGATGTTGGAAGATTTATCCAGAAATCATATGAACAAATCAGGGCTATCGTGATTGACGTATCAAGAAAGATCTACGATGAAATCCAAGCTCTTCCCATCTTCGATGAATTGAAGGCTAAATACGAAGAGGTAATGGACATTTTTTTTCCATTATTATTCCAGAATAATTTTTTGTTTTTGTTGTTTAATATTTATTTAGCATGATTGCTACAATTACATTCGTCTAACAAACTAAACAATTACATAATGTACAGACATTCAGAAAAAAAAACAAAATTTGCATCTCTAATTGTCCATGAAATATTCCTTTAATTTTCTTTTAAATATCTTTAAATTACAAGTAGACTTTATATCATTATTTAGTTTATTAAATTCAAGTAATCCTTTCTGAAATATTGATTTGCTAGTTATATTACTATTGCAATTTAGAAATGAAAATCTATATTTCCTCTTGTATAATAGTTGTGGTGATGATTATTCAATTCTATGTAGTGTTCCAAATGTTCTGGCAAAAGATGATTTTTTATTTTAAATATAAAAATAAGAACCAAATATGATATGAATTTTTTTATATTCAACCACTGCAATTCTTTTAACATAGATTTTATTTTGGTGTAATTATTTTTATTCAATATTATTCTCATAGCTTTATTTTGCAAGACTTGTAATCTTGAGAATACAGCTTCATTGGCAGTGAACAAGATAGTTGAACAATATAGTAAATGCGGTATTATAAACTATCTTCTTGGAATAGGTACCAACACTATGAGACGCCCTATTTGAAGTAATTTGTTTTTTTTTTGGATTTTTTGAAATAATGTATTCATAGTGGGACATCCATGTCAATTATATTTTAAAGAAGGTTAGATTTGTATCCTACAAAATTAAATACCTTGGGAATATATTGACAGAAAAATATCTTCGAACATTATACCATGCACTGATTGAGCCTCATCTCACATATGGTATATTAGCATGGGGAGCTGCATGTGCCTCACATATCTATAATTTAGATGTTTTTCAAAAAAGTATTCTAAAAATGATATTTAAAAAACCGAAACTTTATCCAACTGAAAAATTATACGCAGATGTTCGAATGTATGATTTAAGACAGCTTTATTTCTTACACAGTATCACTCACTACCATAAATTTGTAAACACCGACCAAAAAATTAAACATAATCATTAAACCAGGTACAAAATTCGTGGCACAGTAGTTCCTCAACCGCATAAATCTATAATGCAGCGATCATATCTCTATTTAGCCCCTAAATTTTATGAAATTATACCTAAAGACTTAAAAGATTTACGTTTCGGAAATTGTTTCAAAAGAAATTTAAAAAAGTGGCTACATTCTATATCTAGGACTGAAATTCATAAACTCATAAATACGAACATCAACTAAATACATAATCTACTGTAGCTAATTTTTGTCCTTTTTTGTCATTTGCATTCTACAGTTTCAACTTAAATTTATTGGTCCATGTACAGGCGATGCCTTCTATTGGGCCTGTTTTGATTTTATATTTATTTACTCATATTGTTTGTTATCTTTGTGCATTGAGTGAATAAATAAATATTATTATTATTATAGTGATCCTACCTAAATATTTAATTGATTCAACATTTTCAATTGTTTCTCCATTTAGTGATAGTATTTTCATTTAAGTATTTCCCTATTAGCATATATTTTGTTTTAGAAGTATTCAATTTTAGTTTATTTACATTTAAAATATTTATGATTTTTTCCAAGTCAGAATTTAGCATTTTTAAAGCAGTGTCTATTAATGTATATATTAATGTATCATCTGCAAGTATCTGAAGTTTACAATAATGTAAAATATTACAAATGTCATTAATGAATAAAATAAATAGTAGTGGACCTAGTTTACTACCTTGTGGTACACCAACAAAAATATTTTTTGATCTTGATAATGTAGATCCAATTTTGTCTTTTTGACTTCTGTCAATTAAATAAATTTGTAGAATTTTGTAAATAATTTATCCCTGTCAATAATCTCAAACGCCCTTTTGAAGTCTAAAAACACTGTTACAGTATGTTTCCGAATGTCCATACATCTCCTCCAGTCCTCTAAAACCATTTATGTTGCCGTTTCAGTTGAATGTTTCTTTCTGAATCCAGCTTGAAATTTGGTTAAAATGTTATTGTCCTCAATATTGATCTGTTCGTAAATAATTTCTTCCAAAACTTTTTCAACATCTAGCAGAACATTTATTGATCGCATTTCGGTGTACAACTCAGAATTCTTAACTTTACAAACAGGAGTTATGGTAGAACACTTCAGTTTTGTTGGAAATTCGCTATATGTATTTTAAACAGTATTTTATCAGGATTAATATGTTTGCTCCAATAATATCAAAACATTCATTAAGGATGCTTTTAGACAAAATCTCACTCTTATTTTGATTTGATTTAATTTTTGATATAATCTTGATTGGTTGGGATCCCTGCCAATAATTGATTTTACAATGTCGTTGACACTTTCTATGAAATAGGTATTCAATCATACTTTTTCTAATAGGAAAAACAATGTTTTTCAACGTTTTCCAAATATGTTTTGTTGTATTATTTTACTCTGATCATTTTTGGCAATGCAATATTTTTTCTTTTCATTTCGTAGATTTACTACAGATTGGTTTCTTGATCTTGTATATTCTAGCCAAACATTTCGTTCATTCGTTATCAACATATCTATAATTGTTCTTGATTGATTTGTAATTCTGGTGTGATCATAGACTTTTTGCCATAGTCCATAAAAACTGAATACCTGTTTAAATTTCTTTGCGTAGAAGTCTTGATTATCAAAATTTATATCAATATCGCCCAAACGTACCATGATGCAATTTCGATAAAAATTTCTATCGCAGATATTTTCGAAAAAATCTATAAATCTGTTTATATTTCCAGTTGGAAATCTGTGTAATTGTGCTAAGATTCAATTCAACATTGATATACCTCCATTGGTACTCAACAGCTACAATTTCATGTACTCTAGCTTCTATTTCACATAAAATATATAATAATATACCACCTCTATGTCTGGAAATTGTGTTATATATTTCTCAAATATCATATAGTTAAGGCAAACTTTAAAATTTAGTTTCAATAATGTCAATGAGTGGTTGTACGGTTTACTACTTTTTTAGGTTTGATATTTCATTGCGGAATTATCCGCTTATAACGGGTGACTTTTTAAAAGGTATAGGGTTTGATTTAAAAAAAAAACACAAAAAATTTGAAAAAACGATTAAATGTTTATTTGAGTCGATAGAACGGTCGATATAATTTAATGTTTAAAGATTATTTCATGTAAATGTTGGCCGCGGGTCCGCTTTAGATGGCCCATGCGCAAGGTCTAATTTTGGCACACTCTCTCCAACATATCGGCCGGTATCTCACGAATAAATACTTCAATATTGGCTTCCAGTGCGTCAATCGTTGCTGGTTTATCCCTGTAGACATTAGCCTTAACATGGCCCCACAAGAAATAGTCCAACGGCGTTAAATCACACGATCTAGGCGGCCAATTGACGGGCTCCAAACGTGAGATAAACTGTTCACCGAAGTCGCCTCTCAATAGGGCCATTGTTTCGTGTGCGGTGTGGCATGTGGCACCGTCTTGTTGAAACCACATGTCAGCCAAGTCCAGCTCTTCCATTTTGGGCAAAAAAAAGTTTGTTATCATCGCACGGTAGCGCTCGCCATTCACAGTTACGTTCCGGCCAATGTCGTCTTTGAAGAAGTACGGCCCGATGATGCCACCGGCCCATAATCCACACCAAACAGTGATTTTTTCGGGATGCATTGGTAGCTCTTGCAATGCTTCTGTCTGGTCTTCACTCCAGATGCGGCAATTTTCCTTGTTAATGTACCCATTCAACCAGAAATCAGCTTCGTCGCTGAACACAATTTTTCGATAAAAATGTGGATCTTCCTCCAACTTTGCCAGCGCCCAAACGTCAATTCTTGCACCAGCTGTATCTTATAAGGTTTTACACCCAAATCCTGTCGCAAAATTTTCCACGTAGTGCAGTAACAGAGGCCCAATTGCTGCGAACGGCGGCGAATCGACATTACACGGTCATCACTAACACTGGCGGATACAGCCGCAATATTTTCTTCAGTCCTCACTCTACGTCTGCGTGTTGGTGGTTTAACGTCCAATAGTGTAAACTGGGTTCGAAATTTAGTCACAAGCCTCCGAATAGCACCCTCAGTAGGCCGACCATATTGCCCATAAATTGGAAGCAGTGCTCGATGCACTCTCTTAGCCGAGCATGAATTTTGATAGTAAAATTCAATAATTTGCAAGCGTTGTTCGTTCGTAAGTCGATTCATGGTTAAATTATAGACCAAACTGAACAAGTTTGACAATGACACAGGACACGATTCACGCGTCATCTGTCAGAAACAGTGTCGGCAAAAAGATACTAGCAAAAAAATCACCCATTATTTGATACTGCATTATCGCTGATTTTGTACCAAGTTCAAAAACCCTAACTCAGTCTTTTGTTATAGTATTTTCACTGAGAAAACTTGATTTAATTGATCCAAGTAGCAGGTATAAACACTTCAACAGAATTTATATTGTTTCAGTTGATCAAAAATGGAATCCCGAACAAGGACGGAATCATTGGAGGAATGAAAGAAATTGCAGCAACAATCAAGGACATCATACCACCAGACTTCCTCATCCAGAAAGAATTAGTCGAAATCATCGACTTGGTTGTAAACTACATTGAAAAGGTAGGTTGAAATTTAAAAATATTCGAAGATCACACTATGTAGCACTTCCACCAAAGTAATCGACAAGCGAATTCAACAAATTTCAGATAGCGAAGATTGCATGTATGAAGGAAAAATTGTGTTAATATTTTCGAATATAAGGTATGCTTGAACAAAATGTCTGTAACAAAAAATGCATGTCCAGACATATAGAAACCATAATCGGTTTTTCTATCATATTTTTGGAAATCGGTATGTTGGCGGTTAAAAAAGTAAGCTGTTTATATACATTTTTAAGGATAACTTAGTTTATCCTCGCTTTTCGCTCGTGTTTTGGTAAAGATACCAATGTCAACTTTCCAGGACAGCTATTCCAAAATTATAGGAACTTCAGTCGAACTTTTCAATATTTAATATAGCATATACTTCGAAGTTGAGTCTTTTATTTTAACAGTGAGTAGATCCGATCAAAAGAAATGTTTTTTTCCTTTAACATTTTTGTGGTAAAATTAAAGTAACAAAGTTATAGCCCTTTAGAAGTTTGAGTACCGCCCTGTCTCAATAATAATATTATGTGCTCGTGTTTGGCAACAACGGATATACTCCGCCTTATCGGTTCATCGCATCGGAAACAAAAAAGCGAAAGAATTTGAAACGCTGATCACGATGTTTTTATTCAGTCAATGTGTCAGTCGGTAACGCGTGAGTGAATAGTGGTGTTTGCTGCGTGGCTCAAACGAAATAAAAAATGGCACATATTTATGCGGATCGGTTTCCCAATCGAGTGCAACCAACCCCTCGTGCCTTTGTTAATGTAGTACAACGGGCTCGTGAATCAGGTGACTTAAGACCTCACAGGGGAGGGCATGCCGGTGCTCCAAGACCTCACGATCAAATACAGGTCCGCACTAAAATACTTGTCGAGAGGATACTTTATAAAACAAGGTAAACAATTTTTTTTATTTTTTTTTTATTTTTACACACATATTTTGGTTTATCTTCCTTCTACAATCATTATCTGAAAATTAATGACTCATCTTCAAAGTCACCCTGTATAGCACATCGAACTCAAAGCGTCAGTCATACTTGGTATATAACACACGAAATGTTATCCATTAAAGAATACAATATCTCACATATTTGAAGAAAAATCACAGAAAAAAGAAAAAACAGGTAATTCCTTCATTGGTACGTGAGGTTTTTTAAATTGTAAGGACAAATACAATTGCTTTTATGGATACATTTCACCTGGAAGAACATTGTAAAGTTACTTACCAGAGCTTCCAGCATTGCAATATAATATTAGGAGAGTGAAAATGATTATACATTCGTAATGAATGAAAACTTTTTCGAGAGTTTATTATATCAAAACTACTTATACAGGGTGTTCCTTAATGATATGCGAATATTTAAGGGTGTGAATCTACATGAAAAATTAATGATAGTTTGCTTTATAAACTATGGTCCAAAAATGTTTCCTTACAAGGACTCGGGGTGTTGAAGTTTTAGTAAAAAAATAGAAATTAATTAATATTTTCAGAACCGCTTCAGATATTTCACTGATATTCAGTACGTAGTAAAAGTTAATAAATTTGCATATTTTTCAATGCAAAAATAATGTTTATCTTTAACAGTGGCGTGCGTACGGGTATTCACTTCGATATTTTTCAAGAAAAAAATGATACGCTAATATTTTTTTGCCAGATAAAATTTATTTTTGAATTCCCCGTTCGATTTAAAACAAATGATCTCTCTTGAATTGTTTTCCTTCAATGCGCCATTTTTTAGTAAAATAATAAAAACCGTTCTATTGTCCGAGAAAATTAATGTAATAATTGAAGAATGCAATTTAGCAATAAATATCTCGTTGCTCTGGAATATGTCACTGGCTTTTGACATCTGACAAGTCTCTGTTATTCAAATCTGTTCGCTGTGACATCTTTTTCGTTATTTAGTTTTTACAATCTTGTTAATAATGGTGAATTATTCAAATGCAGAAATGGAATATAAAAAAGGAACAAGGAGTTGTCTCTGTTGCACATTGTACACAAATGTATTTTTGGACAACGATAAAATAAAATGAATAAATATAGTAAAATAACAAAATATGACATTCCTCAAGCTTTGTTTATCTCTGGAACCTTATCTGTCTCGACAAAACTTCACTTTTCGGTTGATATACTACAAAACAGCTCTAAGAAGTAGACAACCACGCGATATTTCAATCGTCTCACTAGAATTGTAACTGAGGCAACAAATATATACATCCCTCGAATCTTCAGTAATCGTCATCAAGTCAAATTACATTCAAGATGTCACACATTTAACCGTATTCGTCATTAGAAAGTAGAGACAAGTAGCTTCTCTCAAAAGTTATTATCAAAATATGCTGCTCGCTTTTTTATCACCGGTTAACATATCCGAAATCTTCGATATTATAAAGGAAATATCAGCAAAAAATTGCAGTGGGGAAGACGAGAGTCCTTGTTCACTATTAATGCACGTAGTATCAGTGAACCACTGACACATTTGGTAAACCGGTCATTTGAGGAAGGGATCTTTACATCTGTATTAAATAACGCATTAGTCTTTCCGATATTCAAAAAGGGACTAGAAACAATATAACCAACTACAGAGGCATTGCACTTCTGTCAGCGTTTTTCAAAGTATTCGAAGAAAGCTACGCTAGGTTAACAGCATTCGCAGAAAAATGCAAATCAACGCAAGATGCAGTGCTTGCAGTATACCGGGTGATTCTCCAAGGCGGCTCACCCCTGTAACTATATTATTATTATTGAAGATATAAAAACGACATTTGGAGGTTGCATATTATAACATAGATAAATTTACATTTTTTGACTTATTCATTTGCTTTAACATAGTTTCAGTTTGACAGTAGTCGACTCCAATTTTCGATTTTTACATGGGACACCCTATATATTTTTACTTATTTCGATCGAGAGTAACATCCTGAACTCAACAACGCCTCGCTTGTCAATATTGGACAAATAATGTCATTTTTATTTCTATTTTTATTTTTCGAACTAGTATGCCATGGATCCTGTAAATCGCTTCATTTTTGATCAAGTAACTCGGGAAAAATACGATTTTGAGGAGAATGACCTTACAGTCGTTTTAAAGTTTTTCTAAAAGTTACAAACACAATTTTTTTCAGTTTACTTGATTTTTTCAAATAGAAAGGGGGTGGCTCGTCGGCTTCTTCTAAGAGACCATTTCCTTGCGAATAATTTGACACTACACACTCTTATTTTATTTTCACTATTTTTCTGAATAATTGTAAGAAACGATCATACCTAACAACAAAAAATAATACGTATCTACATTCGGTATACCTATGTCCTATTATAGTAGTTTTCCGTAACAAGCAATAAATTGAAGGCACAGCTTTTCTTGTAAAAGCTAAAGATACTGCTTTACTTTGACAGTATGCCTGCAGATCTGGTGTTAAGCCGAAAAATTACTGTGGTGCTAATGACCTGGTCTCAAACAACAAAACTGAGTGCATCATGTACAATACAAAATCTTACATGTTCAAATCATATAGATATTACTTTCTGTAAACTACTGACACATGTTGTATATTAATTAAATACGTGTGGATCGTGGGTGATTGATTGCACTAAGGAATTATCACTAGCGTTCCTATTTCTCTTATAATCGCCAAAGGATGTTAGAGAAATACTTCAGCAACTTTTGTAGAGTAGCTTTTATTGAGGCATCAGCAACAGTTGAGAACAGAAGAACAAGTAATACAAAATAAAAATGATTAAAAATATAAGAATACAAACTAAAAGGATAGGATACTTTACAGTAGATCTATAATGTAAATTCTGAAAGCTGACTTGCAAAGAGGTAAGGTTTTGATGTAAATAAGATACCAGTGAAACATTTGTTTTCTGAAACTGATATTGCGTGCCTTTTGCTACATAAGCTAGGTCTAACTCAACCTGAAATGTGGAATCAAATTCTAAAGTTTTATGATTAATTAAAATATTACATTCTAAAATAATATGTGTCGCATAATGTATAAAAGAAGTACCTTTACAGTCTCTTATCTTTGTTAGTTGATTAGTATCAATTACATAATTATTTTTATTTAATTCTAATATTCTCGTGTAGTTTGTTACGCTTTCAGACTCACACATGTCGAACCTCTGTGGTTGACAGGGAGACTGGAAAATACTTTTACAAACATACAGTTGATTACTTAGTTTGATAATGTCAGAACAATAATAATTCTTTTCGTAAGTTAATAAATACTCACTTGGCAGAGTAATAAGTTCATGATGAATAGAAATCGCAAATAATTTCATACAATGTAAATTCCTTAATATCTAAAATGGGAAACTTAATTACAAATATAATTTCATCTTGTAGACAAATAATAGATATTTGAGAGAGGTCACAGATTTCGAATAAGAACATCACGAGCTTCGACCCATGAAGTGGCACCGTGATTTCTGACCTTTTCGAGAGCTTGATCTCGAATATCTAACACGAACAATTCGACAGCACGTTCTTCGAATTCTGTGTTTTGGAATTTTGAAATGAACAACTCACTTTCTCGGATAAAGGTAGACAAATTATTTTGGTTAGGAGAAAATTTTGGCAGAGAGCCTTTAATCCTCCTGAATCGTAGTTCAAGCATTCCGTAACGTTCATTACCATTTGGTTGTTCCATTGTGGTTTCAGAATTTGACATATTTTGGTCAAGAGAAGAATCAGTAGAACTAGAACTTGAACGTGTAAGTGTAAGGGGAGTATGAACTCTCTCTAGTAAATCGTCTAACAAGAGGCATAAAAATACAATCTTAAATACTAACAAGCAAAAATGTAGCAAAAATCAAATAAGTCGTCTTGTTCTCCAAATGGTATCTCTTCTTTGTACAATATCAATTAATAGCAAGATCAACTTATATTTTTTTCAATTTCTTCAATAAAAATCTTCTTACTTCTTAATAAACTTTTTAAATCTACTTACAATGACGTGATCAGCATCGATGTCGCCAAGGGACCCATTCGTTCTGTTTTCTGGTTGTTCTGGATGCAAAAGTTTTCTCTAAAAAGGTACTGGAACTGGTGTGGTCTTACCAACCACTAGGATAAACTTGGAACAGGAACTTGAGAGGTCTTACCGGCCTCGGAACTCGTTCACAGGTTTCAGTAGCGATACCCAATTGCAAACGTTTGAAAACTTTTACCTTCTAAGTTCAGCTGGCTTCTCAGTGAATCTTGATCTTGATTTCTGACCAAGTCACACTACTTGATGAAGACTGGGCATCCTGTTCGCAGCGCCAATTAAATACGTGTTGATCGTGGGTGATTGATTGCACTAAGGAATTATCACTCGCGTTCCTATTTCTCTTATAATCGTCAAAGGATGTTAGAGAAATACTTCAGTAACTTTTGTAGAGTAGCTTTTATTGAGGCATCAGCAACAGTTGAGAACAGAAGAACAAGTAACGAAATGAGTACAGAGAATAGTCAAAGACCCTTTTTATATTCTAGGATTAGAGTTACGAATTTTCCAGAAATCAGTAGTGTCGGGTAAAAATGCAAGCATCTTCTCTCGAGTATGGGACGGTGTTATACTCGTAGGGACTTCGATGGCTTTAAGGTGATGGCCTCAGGATACCATAACTTATACTGCTGTATTAATATTTAATAGATTTATAATATTCGTTTGTTTGCAGAAAGTGAACGCCCAACCTGTTGATGAGTTTGCAGTCCTGGACAAACTTGCAGCAAACAACGTCGCAATTGTCAGGAAGCTGGCCCATGCCGTGTCGACACCAACCTACGACGTTCAGAAGGCCACTACCGTCCCCGTCTCCTTGGACTTCTTGAAGAAACTGCCGAAACTAGTCGCCATCAAATTCTCGCCCATCGCATACGTGCTCAGAGATGACCCTACTGAGGAGATCGTCGCTTTCGCTTTGTCTCTGTTGAACCATCCAAGACAGTGGTTCGCACCATTCCCATGTAAGTATTGGAGTGTTAGGAAATTATCGGTCATAGCTTCCAGTAGGTATAGCCCAAACTTTCATGAAGTTATCAACAAATTATCAACGTTGGGATGGACTCATACAGTGAAAGAGGGACCAAAGGACGGTTCAACAAATCTTGTGAAGAAGATAAAAGATGTGTACCTTCTTACAAAGCTCCACTTTAGAGAACGTACAAACCGAAGTCGAGTCAAAAAACAAATACAGCGTGGCGGATCGAAAACGAAACAGACGCATTTACTGGCAGCTCAGTTTTTTTTGGAAAAACGCTCACTCAGACCCGTCGATTTTGTTTTCGAGGGGGACACAAGTATGGTAAAAAATCACGTTAACACGTGCAGCCCCCTGGGCGGGGGTGACACCACCCCCAAAATCTCAAATGGAAAGGGGGGTCGAGTGATACCGTATTTTAAAGGTGTTTCAATTCCGTTTAAAATGATGTAAAATAAATGAGCTTCAGTTCAGTAGTTTTGAAGATTTATTCATTTAAAGCTTAAAGTAGACTTTAATAGGTTCATCAGAATAGTTTTTACTACTTTCAGAAGAAATTTGACTAAAAGAATTTACTTAATAAGTAAATGCTTTTCTTCACTACGCCCATGGTTTGTTTATCATTTTGTTGTTGAAAATAGCTATTGGAGCGTTTTTTTGTTGCAAAAAAGTTATTTCTTGAAGAAAGATAAGGAAATATCTCGTACTTATTTTAAATAGGAATTTAGTACATAGTTTGCGATTGATTTGACCAAACTTTGTTAAAATAGCTTGTAACGCTTTATTACATACATTAACCATGGTAATTTATCATGAAGTTCATACACAGCAGCCACAAAAATTAAATATTTGGGCTGGTATTTTTGGCGATGTTTTAGTTCTTCATTTTTTCCTACATAGAAATTTTTCCGGTGAAATGTATTTGGAATTACTAGAAGACGCCATAGATCCTGCATTAACAGACATAATTGAAAATCAGAATGATCGGCGGTACATTGCGAATAGGTTGATGTTCCAACAGGATGGTACCCCACCACATTACGCATTACGTGTTCATTTTTAAATTACTTTGCTGCCAAATGTATTGATCTCCACTAATGATGATGTATTAGTTTTATTTAAGCTTTAAATCAATAAATCTTCAAAACTACTGAACTGAAGTACATTAATTTTATATCATTATAAAGGGGGTCCGCAATGGCAAAGACCAGCAAAAAACATCTTTTTTTAATTTCATCTCACATTGTATGTTCTTTCAGTGAACGGTATGATCGTCCAAGGCCAGCACATCTTCACCTTCGACGGAAACCACCTGACCTTCCCAGCCAATTGCAAATACTTGTTCGCCAGAGACGCTGTTAACGGAAACTTCACTTTGGTGGGAACATACGCCAACGGAGAACTCAGCTCGATCTCATTGGCTGATCCTACAGATATCATTACCATCGAAAAGGGAGGAAAAGTTCTTTTGAACGGAGGTAAGTACAGTCAGATAAAGTTAAAAACTAAATTATAGAAAGTTTCTGCACTTAATCCTTGGTTTCTTTGCTGCTGCCGATTTGCAACCCGTTACCAAAATGAATTAGAAAAAATTTAAAAAAATTAGTTTGTCTCTAAACTGTTTTATATTTTTTTGATTACTCGGAATCACCATTACTTTCAGATATTTTTTCCAAATATTCGAATCTTGCTCATTTAAATAAACGTAATAAAAGTGCCCGCGGAGAATTTACAAGATACAGATAGGATTCAAACTTTACCTTTAATCGAATCTAGAAAAATATAGTTACAAAGAAGCTACAGTCAGGACAACAATTTATAAACGGAAAAATCAAACACCTCTATTCTCAAAGACATTCAAGGATTATAAATTAAAAAGAGACTACAATGATAAAAAGTTTATGATATCTGGAAGTGAAAATAATTGGCTAGAATATACAAGATCAAGAAACCAAAGGGTTCTACGAGATGGAAAGTAAAAATAAACATACAATGACAGTGTTTTTGGACCTCAAAAGGGCATTTGAAACTATTAAGGGATAAATTACCTACAAAATTGCATCACTATGGATTTAAAGGATCTGTATTAGAAATTCTAAAAAAACTAAGAAAAGCTACTTAATTGACAGAAGTCGAAAAAGCAATATTGGATCTACATTATTAAGCTAAAAAGATATTTCTGTTGGTATACCACACGGTAGCAAACTAGGTCCTCTACTATTTACTTTATACATTAATGACATTTGTAATATTTGCTAATATAAATGCTAAATTCTGACTCAGCAAAAATCATAAATTCGTTAGATGTAAATAAACTAAAAATGCATCTAAAACAAAATATATGCTAGCAGAGAAATGCCTAAATGAAAATACTATCACAATTAGGATAAATAGTGAAATAACTGAAAATGTTGAATCAATCAAATACTTAGGTATACAGGGTGTCCCAGAAGTCGACGTCAAGTCGAAACCGAGTGATAGGCAAAGTCATAACAGCTATCAGAAAAATATTTAAAAAAATGTTATGTAGGTGTCTTGAAAATTATAGGTCTTTGAAAAAGATGTAGAAATTTCACACCCTACGGCAGTCTGTCAACGCCTATTACAAATATTAACATTTTTTGGATTTTATTTTTACAATGTAATGATGAATAATGCATCTTCAAACTGGTGTCTCAACCTCACTGCCAACTTTTCTCGTTCAGGAAAAATTGCCACTTATTTCCCAACCAAGTATTCCAAAGTAAAACTTTGCTCAACTTTAACTGGCTGTACTGGAAAAAAATGTACTACGAGAGTTTGGCAATTAACCTTAAAAGTTGGCGCATTTAATAACGATTCCAAAATGGTATAACACTTAGAAGATTACTCGTTAACTTATGCACAATTTTTATTTGAAAAAAAACTGATGAAAATTTTTCAAAATTTCTTAATTAAACAGCGATTATGAAAACGCGCAAGGACCCTTAAGGATAACTGTTTGCACAACAGTGGGCGTCAAAATGCTGATGATGATTTACCTTTACAGCAAATGCTCAAACTGTTTTCCTTCAGCCGCAATACACGCTCGACATCTTCTTAAAAAAGATCGGGTTATTAAACGAGCGAATCCACGGTTATTAACAAATTCAGCTGCTTCCAATAGTCTTTGCCGCAGCTCAGCTACATTTTGAATCGGCTTGAAATACACCTTTTCTTTTACAGTTCCCCAGTAAAAAAATCTAAAGGATTCAAATCAGGTGATCGGGCTGGCCACGGTATTGTACCAGACCGCCTTATCCATGTGCCTGGAAAGTTTTGATCGAGATACTCTCTCACTGAGAGTGCATAGTCCCACATGTCCCTGTAAATACTCAGTGGCACGTCCACCAATAAATTTTGTACATGATTTTTCAAAAAATCCAAATAAACTTGAGCAGTCAAAGTCTCTGGGAACTCAAACGTACCGATTATTTTACCATTTAAAATTCCTGTCCAATGGTTTATCTTGAAGCGATATTGAGATTTATCTTCTCTCATCAAATGTGGGTTTGCTACGTGCCACTCGTGTAAGTTATGCAGGTTCATGTACCCATCTTTCTTAAATGTGGTCTCATCCGACCATAAACTTTTTTCAAAGAACTGTGCATCTTTCCTGTGTCTTTCTAACATTGTGCGACAAAAAGCAACTCGGGGCTCATAATCCCGGGGCAGGAGAGGTTGAACACGCTGTATGTGGTATGGATGAAGCACATCACTTACTTGCTATTGCACACTTTGATACCGATCACTACTCCTTCGTTTACTGCGCATCTTTACATGTTCGTGCTTGTTGATTTCGTACTGTTACTAATTTTGGATTCGTGAACTGGACTGTTGATCGCTTGTGATTTGGATTTGGACTGTTTAATTGCTCTTCAAAACAACATTTGCTTTCCTTAGACTATCTTTGATAGTGTGATTGTGCAGTGCCGCTATGTCCGTGTACACCATACAAGAATATGCTAACATGCGAGAGACTTTTCTGTGAGAGGTACCCGAATGCAGCTCGTCATCCAGATCATCGAGTGTTCACAAATGTGCACCGCTTACTGTTCTCAGAGGGCCAACTACCAAACCAATCACACGGTGAGGGAAGATCTTTCCTTCCTTACGAAGACGTGGTGCTAGGAGCTGTCGAAGAAGACCCGAGTACTTCAGTGCGTGCAATAGAACTAAAAACAGGTGTGCCCAAAAGTACAGCCCATAGAATCTTGCAAAGAAACGTGCTCCATCCATACCACGTACAGCGTGTTCTAACTCTTCTGCCCCGGGATTATGAGCCCCGAGTTGCTTTTTGTCGCACAATGTTAGAAAGACACAGGGAAGATCCACGGTTCTTTGAAAAAATTTTATGGTCAGATGAGACCACATTTAAGAATGATGGGTACATGAACCTGCATAACTTACACGAGTGGCACGTAGCAAACCCACATTTAATGAGAGAAGATAAATCTCAATATCGCTTCAAGATAAACCATTGGACAGGAATTTTAAATGGTAAAATAATCGGTCCGTTTGAGTACCCAGAGACTTTGACTGCTGAGGTTTATTTAGGTTTTTTGCAAAATCATTTGGAAAATTTATTCGAGGACGTGCCACTGAGTATTTACTGGGACATGTGGTTTCAGCATGATGGCTGCCCAGCGCCCTATGCACTCTCAGTGAGAGAGTATCTCGATCAAAACTTTCCAGGCAGATGGATAGGGCGGTCTGATACAATACCGTGGCCAGACCGGTCGCCTGATTTGAATCCGTTATATTTTTTTTACTGGGGAACTGTAAAAGAAAAAGTGTATTTCAAGCCGATTCAAAAAGTAGCTGAGCTACGGCAAAGACTATTGGAAGCAGCTGAGTTTGTTAATAACCGTGGATTCGAACGTTTAATAACCCGATCTTTTTTAAGAAGATGTCGAACGTGTATTGCGGCTGAAGGAAAACAGTTTGAGCATTTGCTGTAAAGGTAAATCATCATCAGCAGCATTTTGACGACCACTGTTGTGCAAACAGCTATCCTTAAGGGTCCTTGTGCGTTTTCATAATCGCTGTTTAATTAAGAAATTTTGAAAAAAATTCATCAGTTTTTCTTCAAATAAAAATTGTGCATAAGTTAACGAGTAATCTTCTAACTGTTATACCATTTTGGAATCCTTATTAAATGCGCCAACTTTTAAGGTTACTTGTCAAACTCTCGTAGTACATTTTTTCCAGTACAGCCAGTTAAAGTTGAGTAAAGTTTTACTTGGTTGGGAAATAAGTGGCAATTTTTCCTGAACGAGAAAAGTTGGCAGTAAGGTTGAGACACCAGTTTGAAGATGCATTATTCATCATTACATTGTAAAAATAAAATCCAAAAAAAGTTAATATTTGTAGTAACAGGAGTTGACAGACTGCCGTAGGGTGTGAAATTTCTATATTTTTTTCAAAGACCTATAATTTTCAAAACACATACATAAAATTTTTTTAAATATTTTTCTGATAGCTGTTATGACTTTGCCTATCACCCGGTTTCGGCTTGACGTCGACTTCTGGGACACCCTGTATATATTGATAAAAACTAAAGTTTGAGGATCACTATGGATACATTACTTCAAAAATTGCCAAAAAAACAAATTACTTTCATAGTCATGATACATATTCCAAGAAAATAGTTTATAATACAATTATTCTACCGCATTTACTATATTAATCGACTATCTTGTTCACTGCCAATGAAGCTATATTCTCAAAATTACCAGTGCTGCAAAATAAAGCTATGAGAATAATATTGAATGAAAATAAGTACACCGAAATAAAATCTATGTTACAAGGATTGCAGTGGTTGAATATAAAAAATTTCATATCGTATTTGGTTTTTATATTTAAAATAAAAAATCATCTTTTGCCACAACATTCGGAACACTACATAGAATTGAATAATCATTACCACAATTATTATACAAGAGGAAGTATAGATTTTCATTTACGGAATTGCAATAGTAATATAACAAGCAAATCAATATTTCAGAAAGGATTACTTGAATTTAATAAACTAAATAGTGATATAAGGTCTACTTGTAGTCTAAAGAATGTTTATAATAAAATCAAAGGAATATTTCATCGACACCAAAAATTGTTAGAGATGCGAATTTTGTTTTTCTCGATATCTGTAGTAATTGGTGTAATTGCTGTAATTTTTTAAAAGACTGTAACTGTAGCAATCATGCTAAATAAATATTAAACAAACAAACAAACTATGAGAATCTAGTGTACTTTGAGGAAATATGCATTTTGCGTGTTTAGAAACTCCTAAATGATTGGATACAAATCATGACCTAATTAAAAAAAAGGTTCATGACTACATCCATTTTAGGAGATGTGTGTGGGTTCTCGAACTTGAAAGCAAAACGGTAGATGTTTGCTATTATAAACTTCATCCCGCTGACGAATTATACGCAGATGTGCAAATGTATGATATAAC